TTTGTATGCAGGTAGCGGCGCTGCGGCTGCTTTATATAGCGACTCGTTGCATTCTCCCTCAACCCAAATCCTCGGATCATGCATTTTAGCTAAAACGCTAACGTTAGCTTGCCTTGCGTTGACTGTAGAGTTGTGGGTGATGGTCACGCAGATGTGTCATGAGATTTGAAGCGCTGCTGCCTTTCACAGACACTTTTTCTGCACGTGCTGCAAACAGGATAGCCGTCTTCTATCAGCTGTCCCTCGGCATTCTTCAGATATCCAAAAAATGCCCGTACTTCCGACTTTGTCTTCTTTGACAGATAATAAATGTCCTGAGCGCTGCCGTCTCCTCCTTTGGCCATTATTTCAGCTTTAGCTTCAAGAAAGTTTTGGTTGTAAACAACAAAGTGCGCATGTGCCGCCGGCAACTTCAGCCGATGATACGGTGGCTGGTAAGGGTCACCACGCCTACACCGCAGCCACGGTAATCCACCGAGATAATATATTTTTTAAAAACAAGACGGGTTATTATTATTGTCAACTTTTTTACCGGGGTTTACCGCTACACCGGTTACCGTGACAACCCTAATGATCTCAGCTTAATATGTCAGCAGGGACAGGTGAAAAGAGCCGCCAGAGATGTGAAAATAATAAACGTTTTCCATAATGATGGCGTCATAGAGATTTCTCACACCTTGAAACAGGAAGAGGGTCATTAGTTGTGTGTTTGCCCTTATTTCCTACTTGCAAGTATATTTTTCTAACTTTTGTGTATTTATGTATGCCTTGCTTAAATTTTTTTGTGTCACTTTATTTTCTAGTAATTTTTAGACTAAAAGGGTAACTGTCCACATTGTGGGGATATGTGATGCAGATTCTGTCACTTAAAAATTAAATAAATCCAGGAAAATACCAACGCTGATTCTTCCTTTTGATTAATTATAAGTTGCATGAAGTATTTGTGAGATTTAAAAGTGTGGAACACCGAAAAACCATTTTTTAAAATCATCTATCTTATTATGACCGGTCACTGTTTTTCATGCAGGCTAAACATGAAAATAGTCTCTTACACCTACCTCCTACAATAGCTTCTGACATAAAATGGACAGTGAAAGTCCTGACAGATCTACTTCACGCTGTCACTTAACATTCGTAGACTCATTCATCTCGACTCGTGACGGGGAAGGCTGTTGTTGTTAGCGTCCAGGAAACAGCAGAGAACATCTCGGCTAGTACTAGTTAACCATTAGCATTAGCAACTCCACCACACGGTAGAATCCTCCAGGCTTGTATTTGTGGAGATAAAACATAGTCAGTGGTAGAGTCACGTTGCTGGTATCCAATCAGAGGCAAGATGTCCAAAAGTCAGGAAATAAGTCTCCCAACACCTGAGTCATTCCTACTAGAGACCACTGCAAAGGTATTGATTAAACAAATGTTCAAGACCTTTACAATAAAACTGTATCTGGTGCAGTTTTTGTAGCCCTAATCCCCCCGTTTTGTAATTATGTCAGGGTTTGATTTCACATACCACACTTAAAAATGATATGCTCCCTTAATAATGAAAGTCCCATTTTTATACTGAGAGTCATGCAGTCATACCTGAAAACACAAATACTCACAAATAAAAGTTTGTGGCCTGCAGCTGTGACTTATTCTAGTGCTGAGGAATTCCTACAGTATCCAGTTAAACTCACCGCTGCCGGGTCATATTGCAAACCCCCGGGGGTCCTTAATACAAAAGTAATTGTCTTCGCAGAAGCTGGTTGAAAGTAATAAGTCCTTCACAGAGTCTCGAGCTCATTTCTCAGCAGGGAACAATGCAGTTCCGTGTTAATGAGTGACCAGAGAGGATACAGAAGAACTTATTGTTTCATTAGGTATAATATTAATAGACTCTCGTTGACCCTGTTGTCACATTTTGTCCTAAAATGATGTCCTAAAAGTCACTGAAAATAGATGTGCAGACACATCAAATTCCTGGTGCAGGATATGGTTTTTGAGAAAAAAAGCATAAAATAAAGTAGAGTAAAGGTTGGTGTTGCTATTTAGGCCAGATCAGGGCAGGAATGCAGAGCTTATTAGAGTGTGACAGCTTGCCTTGGTCAGCTAGAGATTTTAGACTCTGATGTGAGCACTGCCCAGCAACATGCAGCCACCGTGTCTCTCTCACCTTTACGCTGAACGTAGACATGATCCAAGCTGTCCTTCTGACACACACGGACAAGTGGAATAACACTGCAGGTGTCTGTGCCTTCCCTTCCCTTCCCTGCTAAAGCTGCCCCACAGTTTTTTTCAAATTCAGCTTCCTCTTGGTTTCATCCAGGACAATTGGAATGGGGTGTTCCTGACCAGGTCTTAGCTGTAGATCACATCCTGCTTTTGGAGACTCCATCTCTTCACTAGGATCAGTCGACTGAAGGCCTTCATGGGTTATACCAAAGTCAGTGGAATAACTCGAATCCTGTTCAGAAGATAGCTTAAATGCACTGTTGTGAGAAGATATGCTCTTTTACATTTAGGCTTTTCTGTGTTGACTCAAACCTGTTCACTCTGTTCGATCTCTTTCTGTTTCACTATAACCGGCCTCATCTGTCAGCTTCGATGCAGCTTTAAAAAAAATGCTGTGCTGTGAGGAGACTTTGGGCTATTCTGGAGTTTAAATACCAAGAGTGCAGGTGTGTATATCAGCTTAAAGACGGCCATCTTTAGGTTTCTGCCAAAAATCAGTTGCACATGTTCAAAGTGTACCTTGAGCAGGCACTGTGCGCTCCCTGATTTCTTTGAACCTTTAATGATAACGAACAGTTTTGATGCTGGACATATAAAATAAATTATTTAATAATTTAAGACATCTTTCCTTAAATTTTTGGTGATTTGTTTCAATGGAGATGTAAGATAGATATAATCTATTCAATAAGAGCAGAAATACCTGTACTAATTCCTTACTGGGTCTTTCCATCGGACGCGTCTTGTAACATTCTCAAAGTGTAGCACGCAGTAATTGGTCGCCACTATAGTTGATGAGTGTGTGTCCACCAACAGCAAAGTGTTGTGTTTTAGACGCGTCCAATTAGCGCAGCAATGCTTCGCTAATTTTACACTTTGAGTCTATTTTACATGCTACGCTTCCAGAATGCATCAAGCTCAGCAGTTCAGATCAGGCCAGGCAGGCAGTCAAACATGAAAGCAGTTTAAAACATCTGGAAACGTTCAAAATAAAAACCATGTGCAGATTTCCAGTGGGAAGGGCGCTGCTGGTACACATATCTATTACGTTATGTGCCACCTATGCATCCGGTGGAAAGGCCAGGTGATACTCATACACCTCTCAATCTTTTTTATCTGTCAGAACTTTGATTAACACATTTATTTAAAAAGTACAGATTATTCATTCATTCATTCATTTATAGAGCATCTTCTGCAACCTTTAGCAGAAACCAAAGGTGCTGAACACAACAATAAACAGGCAATTGCATCTTTTAAAAAAGTTTAAAAAAACTGCGTAAAAAACAGATGAGAACAATTGTTAAACAATTAAAATCAAGACAAAATTGCAGACCCATTTTTTGGGGCTCTAGGCCATTTGCTGCTACACCTGTTTGACCCCCAATTAGAGGGCGTTCGGGCACGAAGGGTAACTTCCTGGTAGCAGATTCATGTTTCAAATAGTCAGTGAAAAGAAATAAAGGGTATTCTGAGTCCCTGGTGATTTGGGGAGGATTTGACAACACACCATTGCCATGCAAAGAATTAAAAATTAACCAGCCTCCAAATCATCGGATTCATTTTGGCTAACAAAGGTTTTACTCCAGACCGGTGAAGATGACTTGTGTAACCAAAAGGTTTTCAATTTCCTGGTGGTCCCATTTTGCGGCTGCATGGTTAGGGTCATGCTGGAACACTTATTGATAAAAGTGAGGAAAAAATTGAAAGAATGTTCCACCCTCCTTCTATTCTTATATCCACCCATTCTAGGACAGGCTCGCCTCGTTTTCCCCGTGTGCTGGTGGTTGTAGTTGTTTTTGTTGTTTTTCTTTTGTGAATCAAGTCTTGTGTAAAAAAAGAACACTTGGCCTTGCCTGGCCTCTTTTTTGTATTGTGTAATCTGTTATTCAAAGCAGAAGTTTGCATAGACCTCATCTGCTCTGCCTCTTCCAAAAGCATTAAACCATCATAAACAAACATGTTATCAGCAGATTGAGGAAGTTTGGCTAGTCACATTTGAGCTCTGGTGCTATGGTGAAAACATGGAGGGTCTGTTTTGGACACTAAACAATCACAAAAGTTCTGAAAGCAGATATGTGAATTGAGAGTGGGTTTGACCCATGTCCTGGACTGGTCTGTGTCCAGTTTGTGGGCTAAGATGAACTGGTGTTTCCAGTTTGACATCAATGCTTATTAAAGGTATGTTTGGCTCTCCATTGAACTCTTGTTACAGATTGCAAACTTCAAACAAGCAAAATAATTCATTTATGTGACAGAAAATAAACTGTTTCCTACGATCAAGTACACTTTTCCAATATATTACTGCAGTTTGTTGGTAATTAGAAGCTATAATGAAAAGAAACTTTCACAAATGAAAGTAATAGAAAGGAAAAATGGAAAATCAGCATGATTATGGGGGAAAAAGCTGGTCCCGTGACTTTTTTTTCTTTCTTTCTTCGGGATGGAGGCTGGGAGGTCACCCATACACCCACTCGCCCTGCCACCATTATCCCCCTCCTCCCCTTCTCTGTCCTCCCTCCTTCCTTGGCTAGTCTCCATGTGCCGGGCTCAGGGCCTTGGGAATGAATGGCTCCCCGGCTCTGCTCTGTCTTTGAAGCCAGCTAGGAATGCGAGGCCTCTTTTTCTTGCCCCTCTCTTTCTGTTGTTCAGGCAGCCGGTCGCACTAGCAGCTATCTGCAGCAGTGAAATATTCCCTCCGCTGCGCTCATTGTGCATTGGAGAGCCAGACGTCATCGGCTGGCCAGTCATTGGCTCCCACTAGGCAGCCTTGGGTCTCAGTGGGGGAGAGAGGGTCCCACTGGAAGTCTTTCCTTTAATATCTGGCTCTCCTGGTAACTTGGTCTAGTCGTTCTGTAAAACAAGAACGATGTTCTGAAACAGACACAAGGACAGAAATCATTCGGCTTGCCTGCTAAAAGAGGAAGGCACATTTCCTTTTCAGATGGGGATCGAGAAAGTTTGGGTGAGTTTTCCTTTTCCCTTTTTTCAGCCAAGAATCTGCCTGATGTTTCACCCCAGTTTTAAAGGCCTTCATATCCGAGTAGTACCTAGTGTGCTATGGTTGTTGATCCAATCTCCTAACTTGTGCTTGGCTTCCCGGCTGTCGTCTTTCCTTTCTCCTGCACCTTGTTGTTGTGGTTTGCGTGTGAGAGTATTTGTCTGGACCAGTCACCCCCAGCCTTACCCTCCCTCCCTGTTTGGCTCCTCTCTGTACATTTTGTCACTGCCTGTCCCCTCCATCACTTCCACTTGAGCACTCCCCTGTTTGGGAGCCTCTCCCTGCTCTCAAAGCAAGGAAAGCTGGAAAACTACACTCATACACGCACACACAGGAGCACACTATGGATCAGAAGGTCCATCATTAATACACAAAATCCCATTTTTATACTCATAAACAGGGGTGGGGGTGTGTGTGCAAAAGGACAGCCTAGGGTTAGGGTTCGCTGCAAGTTTTTCAACAAAGTAGGAATGAAGAAGTTTTCTGTAGTTGGTTTAGTTTTAGTATAACTAGGAGAACTTGACCAATATCAAAAGACACAAAATCAACTGATTCAGGATGTGAGCAAGATTATTTGCTGTTCCCATCACCAATGAGGCCTAATTCTCTTCTGTCATCATGTATTATCTGGTTGGGTTGTCTTTGTTTTAGTAGCAGCATTTACTTTGGCTTAATGAATGAAGCTTCAAACGATATGACAAAGTCAAGGAAAGGCATGTGAGCTGTTGGAGAGTCTTGTTATTATCATCTTAAACCTGTCATTAGCTCGCAGCAGCTCATTACAGCGGATGATTGCATGAAACGAATGCTTGGAACAGACTTTTTAATCATTCTGTACAATAAAAACATGATTTAGCTTAATTAGCTTATCATTTAAGAGATTTTTCTTTAATCTAAAGCTTCACTATAGATTAACTTTACAGGTGGGATGTCTTTGGTTTCCAGTTAGGAGGAGAGGTGCCTCAAGAAATCTTATTTCTCTTAGAAAGCTTAAAAGTATAGCAGTGTACACCTAAAATGAATTTTACATAACAGGAAAGGCGTTTACCTGCTGTACTACAGTGCATTAAACATGGCACATGACTAATCCCCAGATATTTAAAAAAATTCCTGACATTTTTTCATGTGTTTTGCAACGTGCACTGCCGATCTTTAAGCTCTTAATAAGAGGGCTTATTGATGCAAAACCAAACAACCTCCTTCAGCAGGTGGATAATGGTGCTGCCCAATAAAACAGAGCTGCTGGAAACCATTTGAACACTGAAACACAAAAAAATGACACATTATGTTTAGGTGCAGCTATAAGAAATGTTTTGATTGAATGTTTTAGACTGAAACTGTTTCTCCTGGTTTTTTATTCATTATTAGATCTTCAGAAAAGTACTTGATTACTAAAGGTTCATAGTGACAGTCCTAAAATTAACATTTTGATTCAAACGACCTGTTTTAGAAATTCTGAGAGCTTTGGATTTGCAAATAGAGATGATGCAACATGAACTTGATTGAATTTTAATCAGTTTTTAGCTCCAGCCTGTCTGCTCCTCATCCTTCTGCAAAATAAAAGGGAAACGTTATTCAGGAATGTGTGGGGTCGTCTTTGGTGGAGATAAACCGCTCCATTGTGAAATATGGCCTAAAAATGTTGAAGGAAAGCATTTTTTTTAAGTACTGGAGAATTATTTTCTTCTGGCACTCTTCAACTAAAAATAAGATCACCTGTGAAGGATGTAAAAACGAGAAAGTGAAACTAGGGAAGTTCACGTGAGTGTCAGGCTGAGAGTCTCACCAAATATTAATGTTTTTATCAAATTATCACCGCGGTATGTCTGATCATTTTTCCAGTCACAGTTGGGGAATTGGATAACCCATATTTTGTTTATCTGAGAGAGGATTGTAAGTGTGCTGTGTTTGTGTCCTCTCCACCAGGAGCTGGCTGTTCCAAGAGGCTTTAAGAGGGTCCAGAAAGTGACCTAATTCTGGGACAAGTGTCTCAGGCATCCTGGTGATAGCTACCAAGTTTTACCCAGAAGGAGGACACATGCATCACTGCACAGACGCAGACACAGTTTTTACAAACTCTGCGCTTCCTTTCCTGCTGTTTTCCACTCCTTCATGGATTCCTACACCTTTCATTTTGAGAGAATGAGCAACGTGGACCTGCATCCTCTGTGCCTGCCTGTCAGCCGGCTTTCACCAGACAAGTCCAGTAGCAGCATCGCCGACCATCTTACCCACCACCAACACGGCAAGGGAGACTCCGCTTACAGCTCCTTCTCTGGTGGGTCCACCGCTCCAGATTACCCCTCTCCCTTTACCCATGATGACTTACAATCCAGTTCCTTCAGCCACTATGCTGACCTTAAACATGTAAAATCATACTACCATCCGACCCAGCTTCTGCCGTCCGACTCAAAGGCCATGGATCAGCTTTATTGCTCAGTTGAAGCCATCCCCCAGCAATATTCTAATAACAACTACAGACACAACGGTAATGAGCGCCACCACACCAATAACAAGGCACACTCTAAAGACGAGGTGCGTTCAAGGACTCGATCCCAAAGTGTTCAGAGTCCCTCCCAACCCCCTCCAGTCCCAACTCGCCTCGATAGTTTTATAGCTACTAAAAACTTGGAGAACAGCAGGACTCACCACCACGGTACTGAATTTCATCCCCTGCAGCCTAAACCCTACAGTCGTCTTCCTTCCTGGAGTCTGCATAATCTGGAATCTGAGACAGCTAGCTCGAAGTTAGACAGAGTCAAATCTGACTCGGTGTACTCCGTGTGGAGGGGCTCTGAACAGCCACAGTTACACTATCTACCAAGTTACCGAATGCACATCCAGCGTCACGAACAGGGCAGAGTCAACGCAAAACAGCTTTTAATCAGTGATGAAAATGTTGCCCCTGAACAGCAGAGGTCAGCAAGCATCCTGAGCCACTCGCCTCCCACAACTCAGTCTGAGCACCTGACGCCCAGACAGCCATCAGAGAGTGCTGGGTGCAACTGCGACCATCATGGAAAATCTAGCTGCCATTTTGAAAGTGGGCGCAAAAGAGCCTTTTCTGCTTATGACTGTCTCTGTTCAGAGTCAGCCCGAGCTGGTAGCCCATGGAGCTCCAGTCAGAGTTTTATCAGCAGCAGCATTCAGCATAAAGGGCAGTTCTACTTTGTCACAGGAGTTTGTAAACTGTCCGAATCTGGTTCCGGGACAACATCTGCACCCGCGAGTGACTTTGAGGCTGAAAGGGAGGCATCTACTATGTTAGAGACACACCGTCACAGAGATAAAGAGAGATGTCACAGCACAATGGATAATTTGTTTAGTTCTCACTGCTCCGGTGGTACGATTCAGGATGACGGGCACGTTTTCGTTCCTGCAGCTCAGGGAAAGGACCTGACCTCCAAGAGCCAGGACCAGGAGAATCACAGGCCACCCCACATTATGAATCCGTCTTTTCAAAGTTTTGACAAGTTAGAAGAAATCGACATGACGCACATTGGTGAGATTGGCCGCCACTCTGCCAACAACCCTATATTCTACTGTGGACCTGACAAAAGCTGCCCACCACATTTAGCCACTGATAGAAAGAAGCCCATCAGTGAACACCCCAGCTACAACAAGAGAGAGGATCATGCACAAAGAGAGAAGCAACAGCCATTGGGGGAGGTTGCCAGTGAGAGGATAAACAAAGAAACAACACCACTTCTGTACCACCTCACTGGGGCCAGCAGGACCGGCCTTATAAAAGGCAACGAAGTGGCTCTAAGCAAAGCAGACCGAGGAGACATCGCAGTAAGTGATGTTGAGAGACCTGCACCAGGTGACACTTGCAAGACTGCTAGAGATGCTACATCTGTGGCTTGTAACACTTTAGATGATTCGTTTAAGAAGTACTACAAGGAGAAGCTGAAGGATGCCCAGTGTAAAGTCCTTAGGGAGACGTCGTTTAAAAGGAGGGACCTGCTGCTTCATTCCATGAAGCAAAATTCTGAGTGCAGGCCGACAGGGATTCACACTTTCTCTCCATCACAGGACTCCGAGTCTTCCAAAGCCACACTCACTCCTTCTGTTGCATCTGAGGAGACAGAGAAGGGCAGCATTAAGGAAGAACCCTGGGAGAATAATAGAGCAACTGAGAGGGAAAATGGGAGGCCGGCAAATGTGGCACAGCCCCAGGTGGCTCGCATTGGAGGAAGGAAGAGGCTGACAGCGGACCAGAAAAAGATGTGCTTCTCCGAGCCTGAAAAACTTAACCAGCTTGGCAGTGGACCTGTACACGTGGCCTGCCGCTCCTTCAGCAACGAAGGCGACTGTTTGTTCGGAGCTGAGTGTGAGGGAGATGGGAATGAGCAGCAAGGACTGGTGGCAGCGCGAAGGAAGATATTTGAGATGAGGGGACGTGCTCAGTCGGTTTCAAGTGCTTCAAAGACAAACCTAAAGCATCTTCAACACAAGGCCCTGGTGGACTACATGGAGCGTAAGACAGGTCAGAAAGTGGCCGAGTCCCAGCAGCCCGTGCTGCAGTTACCAGCTCCATCCAGACAGAGGCACTCTCTTGGGGAGAAACCATTCGAATGGGGTCCTCGTGCTGTATCAGGGAATCATGACGGCAAAGGTATGAAGAAGAAGCACCACAGACCTCTTTCTGCTGGCCGCATCCTGGATTCCTCCAGCAGCTCTATCAGGTACAGTGGAGAGGATCAAACATAGACTTTCTGCTTCTGTTTTTGTACTAAACTGGGTAAAATCACCGGTTTTAATTGTTTCAACTTTCCCAAAACAGGTATGCCCAGTTCTCAGCCCAGTCCTGCTCAGGTCAGTATCCTGGCCAGCACGGTTCATCTAAGATGAGGGTGAGTAAAGGTCCATCTCAGGGAAAGTCTGCCTCAGCAGAGAGTCTTTTGGACCAGCGAGAACCAACTAGTTTCTGCAGAAACCGATCCACATCCTCACCGCATGCATTTCAGGTACTAATGTACATCCAACACATTCACCTCAACTTTGAGAAACACAAATATATCAGATGACAGTCACATTTTACAAAAGTGATTTCAATTATTGTTTAAGATGTTATTGTTTTTAGAAATTTAAAATAGTTTAATTTGTCTTCTCCTGGCTTGACAAATATCCACATTTTTATTGGCGTAAACATTAATGTCTTGATTGAGGAAGATGAATGCATGCTTTATGTTAACATGAATGTGATTTATTAATGGGGTTAGGGGTGGTCTTCTCCAGGGGGGCCAGTGGGGTGACCAACAATTTTTCAGTTGTGACCAAGGCCCCCCGTGGCTACCCCTTTGGGGCACCACTGATCAAAAGAATAAAAAAAGACCTTACGTGTTAATTTTTCATTGCTTGTTTTGGTTCTGCAGACACTTGACTATGAGGAGAATCTTCTGCCAGTTAAAACCATGGAGACTGAAGGGTATGTGTCACCAGTGTTTTTATGCCAGTGATGACAGCACCATGACACACACCATACATCTCAGCTTAATTCACCGTGGCTCTTGACACGTCAACGCCCCCCTGGTCCATTAAACAACACTTCACCATTTGTTTTTCAGTTTTCTCAAGAATGAAGCTGAGAAATCTTCAGTGAAGCAAATCCCAGAGGGGCAGCAGCGCGCGCGAAAGGTAGCACAGAGAGGAAAGTCCATGGAGGAACTCGGAGCGTCAAAGCCAGCTAAAGTAGAAGCAATGAGTAAAAGCTCTGAGGAGCTGGATAACCTGGCCAGAAATTGGTCCTTGGGATTGGAAAGACAAGAAAGAAGTGCTTCGAACGTTGCTGAGGAAAGAAAATTCCAGCAGAGAGAAAATCAGAAGGACAAAGAACCAGAGGTTGTTGGTCAGAAAAACACTCAGGGACACGTCCAAAACCAAATCCAGAGAAACCCCTTGCTGAAACAGAGCTCTGAGCTTGGTCAGGAAGGAACAAAAGGAGAAAGGAGTTCCAGTCGGTCCAGCTCTCCAACCTCCACATCCTCTTCCCGGGCCAGAGTTTGCTCTGCTTCTCTTGGATCTCACGTAGCCATCGCAGATGAATTCAGGTCTGAAAGGTCACCCAGTGAGAGTCTTTCTAATCCACCTTCCCCAAGGGGCCAAAATATAAATGAAAGGGAGATGAAATCCACCTCATCCACACCCAGTCGAACAAAGCATCTCAGTGAAAGCACATCTTGCTCCAGGTAAGAGCTGACTGTGTAGTTCTTTGTTTCTGTGAGGCCAATTTAACTTCCCAGATATGAAAAGTCTTCATTTAGGACAAAATTTTATTTTTCTCACATATTAAAGTCATTGTAAAAGGTATTTGTGGTTTTGCTAAAGATAAAGAATCACTCAAATAGTTCAAAATAATTCTTCCTATTAGATCTAGAGCTTCATCTGGACCAGAGAGCGAGCAGTCTGTGGATGAGCTCGGCAGCGACCCCAAACACGAGGTCTCTCTGAGCTGCGGGGTCACCACAGATCCTGCACTGTGGATTCTTCCACCAGAAGACGAGACTAAAGAGAAAGTCAGTGAAAGCTCTGTGTCTCCCTGCACGTCCGTATCTGAGGCGGACGCCGGTCAGCGGACGGAGGAGCAGAGAGATCCGGAAACAGAAGCTGACACTCAGGGAGAAAAGGAGGAGAAGGAGAACAGGAGAACACCAGAGGGAGAGACGGAGAGCCTAGAAAAGCCCGTGGAGAAACCAAAGTGGGAGGAGCTTGTTGGCGCAGTGGTCAAAGCTGACCAGTCGTTGGCCAGGGTCCTCTTCCCTCTGGCCAGTCGTAAGACGGCGCTGATGCTGATGGAGCAGCTGCTGTCAGAGGACACGCTACTGATGGAGGAGCACTACAAAAAGAAGCAGGAGCAGAAAGGAGACGTAGAAAGGTGAATTTAGTTGTTTATTTTTCTCATCACATTTTAAACTATTCTAGAGACGATGGAGTAGAGAGGTCAGACCAGTTCAAGTTAACGAGGCTCGCTGGGATAACGTGCTTCCATGAAACTTGATCTGGGTTTCTAATGGCTCCAGAGCTGAATTCCACCAGGGTTGTATGACATTTTGTTACACCACTCGCTCAGACACACCTGCTGATTTGATTACCGCTGCAGACTCTGGGATGCCTGTTTGGTAATCAGATACTCAAAGAGAGTGCACTTGTGTTTTGTAATATTCAGACACCCCCAGAGGCCGCTTCACAGAACCAATAGAAGACGCGAGATGTTTATGTTGTGACTGAGAAACGTGGAGAGTCGTGCTGATAAAAACTTTTTTTTTTTTGGTCTGTAGCACTGAAACGGCTGAAGGACCTGAACCACCTTCTTGTCCTCCTGCTTCTGACAGCCAGGCTTCTCAGTGTGCAGACCAGCAAAGCAAGGCTGACCTTGTTAAGAAGAAGGTAAAAATCATTTACACATATTTTGCTGCAAAATATGGGATTATTGGGAAAAAAATCATTATAAATAAGTTTAAAAACATGTCATTCCACAGTCAAAACAGTGGAGCATACAAAATAACAAAATATTATTTCATTAACTGGCCTTTGATTTAACTAACAGAAGCAACAGATTTGTTTTTGCTTATGTAAAAAAATATGGCCAAATAATTATTTGATTATTTTTCAGTATTTTTGCATCTAATGAACCAGCTTGTGATGGAAATTGTTGATGTTTTTTAAATCGTTTAAAAGAAAAACTGTAAAATCATCTCAATATGAGAAAGTAAAAGAAGCCATAAACCAAACGGGCAAAAAACAAGATTTTCAGATTATTTTTATATTGATGCCATCCGGATCCTGTGTTAAGAAGACTCATGATGTACTGTCTGCCACTTATCAGCATTTTCAGCCTATCTAATGTTTGCCATAGCAACAAACCCACCTAATGTCTCCTGATCTTCTGCCAGAATCCACTAAAACATGAAAAAAGCTTTTAACATAGACTCGGTTGTAGTTTAAAATGATAACAGACGTCTTTTGGCATTGATTTAATCATATTGTAACATTTCTGTCCATCGTTTACAGCATTTGTTAGTTTCTTACATCAAAGAGCGTCTGCAGTCGTTGGAGGAATCTCGTGGCGCCCTGCAGAGGGAGCTGGAGGAGAACGCGACCCGCGGGGAGGCGTTGAAGCAGCTGGTGCGTGAGCGATGTCAGCCAGTGGAGCTGGAGAGGTACAGCCTGTTCATCGGAGATCTGGAGAGGGTGGTCAACCTGCTGCTGTGCCTCTCTGCACGGCTGGCCAGGGTGCAGAACGCTCTGAGTATTGTGGACCAGCACACAGATGCCGAGGAGAAGGTGGGGTACCAGATAATTTTGTTTCTTCCATCGTCAGCAGCTGGGAACGTCTGGGTTCAAGAGTCATTTTGTTCAGATTGTGAATACTTTAAAGCTCTCGTTCACTCTTTTTTTCAGTTAAAAAAGTTAGTGGTCTCTCTGAATGACTTGTGAGTCAGTCTCTGGGGAAAAAAGTTCTGGTGTTCCGGTTTCAGGAAGTAGAAGTTAGTTGGAGGAGTTGGAGGCAAAAAAAAAAAAAAAAGACAGGATTTGGAATCTTATTATTATTTATAATAATATGACATCTCATCACTGATTGGCTAACAGCAACGCGACTACCACAGACTCAGTTTGCTCCTCAATGTTTTATCTCCACAAATAATGCAAGCTTGGAGTTCTGCTGTGGTGTGGAGTTGCTAACGTTAACTGTTAGCCGAGGTGTGCTTTGCTCACTCTGATGCTAAATCAACTCTGCCTTCCTCTGTTGCTGGCCAAGATGGGCGAGCCTATGAATGCAGTTTCCCTGTGTATTTTCTATTAGCAGCTAATGCAGGAAATAACAAATTAAAAAATGGTTTCTCAGTGAACCTCCTCTTTAAATAAGCTGATGGTGGATAGAAATCTAAATTTAACCTTTAGTCGTTCACTAGACATTTGCCCCTCGGCCTATTTGTATTTTGGGTCATCTCTGTTTTTGTTTATCCCATCACTGCACAAAAACATGGACTATTTAGGCTTTGTTACGTAAACTGTACAGGTGCTGGTCATAAAATTAGACTATCATGACAAAGTTGATTTATTTTAGGAATTCCATTCAAAAAGTGAAACTTGTACCCTAGATTCATTCTTTACACAGACTGATTAATTTCAAATGTTGATGAGCATAACAACTAATGAAAATCCCAAATTCAGTATTTCAGAATATTAGAAAATTGTGAAAAGGTTCAATATCGAAGACGCCTGTTAGTTGTAGTCAGCTATTTAACTCAAAAGCCTTTAGATGGTCTGTTGGTATAGTTCTGTAGGCCACACAATCATGGGGAAGGCTGCTGACCTGACAGTTGTCCAAAAGACAATCATTGACACCTTGCACAAGGAGGGCAAGTCGAAACAGGTCATTGCTAAAGAGGCTGACTGTTCACAGAGCTCTGTGTCCAAGAGCTTTAATAGAGAGGCAAAGGGAAGGACAAGATGTGGTAGAAACAAAGTGTACAAGCAATAGGGATAGCAGCACCCTGGAGAGGATTATGAAATGAAACCCATTCAAAAATGTAAGGGAGATTCACAAAGAGTGGAGTGCAGCTAGAGTCAGTGCCTCAAGAATCACCACACACAGATGTAAGCAAGACATGGTTTCAGCTGTCATATTGCTTGTGTCAAGCCGCTCTTGAACAAGAGAGCTTCAGGAGCGTCTCACCTGGGGTAAAGACCAAACAGGCCTGGAACGCTGCTGAGTGGTCCAAAGTTATGTTCTCTGATACGTTTTGCATTTCCTTTGGACATCAAGGTCCCAGAGTCTGGAGTAAGAAAGGAGAGGCAGAGATTCCACATTGATTGAGGTCCAGAGTAGTTTCCACATTCAGTGATGGTTTGGGGTGTCGTGTCATCTGCTGGTGTTGGTCCAAGGTCAATTCTTCCAAACCAAGGTTCTAATATACAAGTTTCACTTTATGAGTGGAATTACTGAAACAAACCAACTTTGTCTTAAATATTCTAATTTTATGACCAGCACCTGTGGCAGTCTGGTCAAAATTTGACATTCACATAAAAAATACATGAATCGAAGGGAAAAGAGCTGAATGTTTCATCTGATTAGGACGTTAATTCACCTGAAGCAGTGAAATCCGTTGTGATTAGAATGACCTATTTCCTCCTCACTCACTAGCACGTGCTCAAGTCGGTTATCATCCTTTTCTACGCCTTTCCCCCTGATGCTGTTTACACATACACACTAATGTGTGAGTGAAAGCGTGGGTTCTCCTGAGGACACGCTATGTTAGATAACCCCACAGATGTCACGATTCAACCCTTCTCCACAACGCTGACCACGAGCGCTGAAGCACATGGCGTTGGCTGTGCTCTGCTTCTGTTTACTTACAGCAAACACACCGTTAGGGAGGAGTTGAAGGGCAGCTTTGAATGGAGTCAAGGTTTCTAAGCGAGTGGAATGCAAGAAACGCTGTTAATCTGCCTTTAATGGCTTGTCTGGGTTTGTGTTCAATACTTTATTAGACATTTAGAGGAAACTTTTGATTTATTGCAGTTTAACTTGTTTAATGGGTGCATAATACTTTGTAACACATATGCAAGGATTAAAAAATAAGAAGAAATTAATGAAACATGTATTTAACAAAAAGTCATCTGGCGGGCGGGGGGGGGGGGGGATTACAGCAAATGAGTAATTTTCATGAAGAGTTGAATGCACTGACATGTGCTTTATTCATGTATTATTATAATGTGTCTCATTAGTGGATACTATCGCGTCATTTTTATGACTTCCTTTTAATTATTCATGAATTTAAGTGTTTTAGCATCCTGAGAGTTTGATAGGATGTCAGTGTCATCAGCATCATCCTAAGTTTGCATGGAAATACGACATTTTTCACCCGTGGCTGTGCATGCTGCATGCAGAGGGCTTGCTACAGGATCATTTATGATCTCGCTGTTATGAGCGACGCTGCTGTTTACACTGACTCACCGAAACCTCAGCCCAGTTTCGATGACATTTGCGTCTGCCCTGCCCTCTGTTGACTTAAGGACACACTGCAGCGCCCCGTCCTGTGGCTTTCACAGCTTTCTGTTATCAAATGTGACCTCAATTTTCTGTCTGAATAAGAAAAACACTTAGGATTTGTTTTGTCTTTTCATTTAAACAATCATTGTATCACCATATGAGCTATAGTGGCCTCTTTTGCTCTCTGCCTCTGCAGGAATCTCTGGACAGTCGCCACCGTCTGCTGTGCAAACAGAGGGAGGACGCCAAAGATCTGAAGGATAACCTGGACCGCAGAGAGAACCTGGTCTCCACTTTCCTGTCTCGCCAGCTGTCAGCTGAGCAGCTGCAGGACTACCGACACTTTGTCCAGACCAAGGCCTCGCTCCTCATCCGGCAGAAGGACCTGGAGGAGAAGCAGAAGTTAGGCGAGGAGCAGCTGGAGGCTCTTTCCAACTGTCTAAATCTGTGAAAGAAGGAACAAAACTTTCTTTGACTTGAAAGGAGAATCACCTGTGGCTCTCTAAAGGAGGGACCTGCAGAAACCTGCTCTCCACTCACGAACATAGCTGTTGGATAAGACCTCTGAGAACATTTTCCTCCACAACACCGTCCAAACTACGTGCATTAAAAGTTGTCATAAAACTTTACATTTTCCTTTGAATAGAAGTGAGCTTCCTTTGTGTGCCTTGGTATTGTCGACATTTTATCTTGGAGCTGCTGTGCAGAAATCAGTCCCTGTCCTTCATTTTTCAGGGAGACGTTAGCCCTGCAGCCCTGCGCCCGTGGAAACCTATAAGCTTTAAGATTGTGTCCGAGCAGTGGCCTGGCGGAGGGTGGGGTGTGTTGTAGATGTAGTGGTTTTTTTAATGGTCTTATTTTCAAATGTTTTTCAGATTAAGGCACTAAAAACCAAAAAAAAGCACTTTCTACAGTCACACAAATGCACATTTCTAAGCCTTACTCCATCCGTTTCAACATTTCCATTTTTCTCTTTTATTTTGTCATTAGTTTTAGTAAGAATGTATTTTATGGGACAACAGGAAACAAGATAAAAGGCTGTTCTTTATTCTCCAGCTGATTTTACAAAATCACAACTTTTAGACGACGTCTTGCTGAATCTGCTTTTCACTCGACCAGATTATCGGTAACAGTCATTCCCTCTTTAGCTGTTGCAGAATTGACATGTAATACTTGAAAGACTTTTATTTTTATTAAAATAAAGTCTTTATGTCAGGTGTTTTAAACTCGTTTCAAGCTGTCTTACCTCCACAGCCTGGACCCATTTAGACACATTTAAACACACCTGTTGTGTTAAACACACTTGAATCACAAATAACTTTTATTTTTAGTAATTATAATGCTTTTATAGTTTATCGACTTCCCCTTTAACCAGGAGGGGATCGTTTGTGTTGTGTGAGATTATTAAAAATATACTTTTGTGTTTTTCCTCCACCTCCATCAAAAACATTTCTCTGTGGACGCCGTCCTTCTTCTCTTGCTGAACGAACGTTTGCTTATTTTGGTCTTTTTGTGCCGATGCAGGGCTGAAGGGCTGGAAGGACTCTCGTTGTTTTCTGCAGGCTGGCTGGAATTTCCTAAATTATGCAAAAAGTCCCGTATGGTGGAGAAAGTGCGGGAAATGACACCGCAATGGGGCATCACACAGAACAATACTAAAGGAGATTGTATTTCGCACACTAGTGAGGTTGAAGCATGCAGGGTACTTGTGTTACAGCCAATGGGAAGAGACACTTCAACCCCAGTTGCCTCTAATGAGGGCAAATGGTTCAAAATCCTTGTTTTCTGCTTTATTTCCTCTGGAGTTTTGCTGGTTTGTGTCTGTTTGCAGTTTAAGGCTCCACGATGTTTGTAATGTGAATAAATTAAGCTTTCACTGGACAATCTGCTGGACTTTATTCTCTTTATATCTTTATTTTTGATTCTAGGTACAGAAAGAAACTAATTTAGCTAATTAAGCTTTTGTGTTATTTCTAAATTTGTTTCATATATTTTTGCTTTAATAACGAAACAAAGGATAAGGTTTGTGAAAATTTTGGAAAATATTTTTTTTTCTGGCTTCACAGGAAGACTCACTTTACCAATTAAAGCTCGCATCTGCCCTCTACAGGCAGATGAGTAAATTACACTTATAACTTCATTTTTCTCAAGATTATTTTCATCATTAGTATTAAAGATGATCATAAGGTTACAAACATGAAATAAAAATATGCTTAACCATTTTAAAGATTTTTTTTGTTTTAATTAAATGTTTTGGGGAGGGCAGCAACACCCAATATAAAATATTAAATTCATATTTTCCAAATGAGCAGATGCCTTAAGAAGTATTTAAAGTGATGCAGCTGATTATTAACTTAAAAGCAAAATGAGACAAGAATATCCACCATAATGTATTTCACAAAGGTGGAACATTGGACAAATAAAGGTTGTGTATTTCTGTCTAATTGTGTGTCCTGAGCTGGCAAAAAATAAAAGTATATTGCTCTGAGCGGGAATGACCTTTCAATCAGAGGTGAAGGTTGGGTCATCCGTGTATCATATAAAATACTTCATCTTTGCATTAGTTCTGTTTACATTTAAGAGGACGTGACCGTAAAACCGCTTTGCTGCTGGCCATCACCGACATGCCCCACAGCTGCAGTCGTCAGTGTTTCTGCAGATGATTAAACTTCCAACCCAACAGGGGTGGGTTTAGGGGGTGGCTTCTTGGGCTCAAACCCCAGATGTTTTCTGATTTAGCTCGGAATCTGAATTTTTCCTTTGAGAGGGGGAAAAAAAAACGCTTGGACGTACCAGCAGTACTGACATCTACCAGAAGCAGCTGTTGTATAAAGTGGCCTGTTGGCAGCCTGCCACAGTCTGACCCTCTGATGCATGCATGAAAAGACTGACCTTCATTGCTCCAGCTGTGTATAATTGTAGATTTCTCTGTATTGAACAGGCGACCGGTTCTGAAGAGCATGGTTGTCTCACAGCTTGTTAGCTATTTCTAACAGATCTGGAAGCTTTATGCTAAACACCGTTATCTTTGAGATGTTTGTTTTTTGGTCATCTGAACACAGACATATTATAGGATCTGAAGTGGTAATATTTAAATCTCTAGGTTTTATTTTGTTAGCTTAAATTGTTGAGACACATCTCTGAATAGCGGCTGCAAAACACCTCCCCCCTCCCCCCTCCCATCAGATGCTAATGCAGGAATTATTTTCATGTTTTGCCTCCATGTTAAAAACCATGCTAGGCAACTTTTTCATATTTTAAATCATTTTCTTGAGTCGGTATGTATTAAAATGACCCTTTACAATATCAATAAAAGGCCACCCAGCCCCTACCGCCCTCTGGCCAGAGTATCACATTTGCAACTTCAGACTGGCAGGCCACTCTTTGGGGACTTGGAAATAATTGAGCTGACATACATGGCGCTGCAATCGGGTTCCAGCACATTTCCTGCATGTTTTATATCACGAGCACAGATGATTTGTCTAATTTAGAGATGAAGCTGTCCTGTAGACATTGAGGAAGGCTGGGAAATGTTTGAACTGTTAGATCAAGGTGTTAAAAATGACAAACACACGGGGAGGAGAGGTTTTGCTTTCAGTTTTACCACAGGGAATTGATAACAGGCACTAGGGGGTGCTAAAAACAAGCAAAACTGCCAAGAGTGCCTTTAATCTAGGAGTGACTGATCATTCCAAAAAATAAAAAGTAAAAAATGATTTCTCTGTGAACTTAGTCTTTTAAAAAAAGCACCAATCATTTGCACAAGCTAAAAAAAAAAAGCAACAACAATCATTTGTGCTAAGCCCTGGAACTTCTTCAGTCCTAAACCGGTCCCTGGTCGTCAGTAATCCAGACATTTAGTGTTCTCTTGTGTCTGTTGGAGCTTCTTACAAAGGAGGCAAAAAAATAGTAACTGAAGGAAAAAAAGGTTCTCACAACTTTTCTTTGGACTTGATTCGTTTTCTTTGTTCATTTTTGTGCTTTAAGCTGCTCAACTCTGTCAATCATTCATACACAAACACGTCCCTAAACTCCAGGATGACGCACCTCTCAGCTCTTGTTCCTGGCCTTTTTCTGGGTATTGTCTAATTAACAGATTCTGTTCATTGGTTTTAGTTAATTTTTATTATAGGTGATATTTCTACTTTTCAGAAGGCTAAAATATCTGAATAAAGTCTGGATATATGCGAATAAAGAGATATTTTATCCAGATACTTGAGCATTTTGATTATATAGCCACATAAAGTAGATCTGAAAAGAAATCTAAGATTAAACATTTTTGCATAACATTTTGTGGTTTTAATGGCCTCCAAGAAGCTAGCCAAGCCCTCTCCTGGCCTGGTCAGTGATCAGATTTCACTGTTCACACAATTAATTTCTGCAGTCAGTGTTAATCCATACCTTCTCTTGTTTCTTTCCTTCCTCTCTTGGTTTTCTAGCCGCAGGAAATATCTACTAAAAGATAAAAGCAAATCAAAAAGTGTATTGACAATTACAATGGGAGTGTAAAAAAAGCAGTAGAGATGCAAGATGAGTGATTTTCCTCAACAGAAGCCAGACAGACAGGCGTCAATAGCAGGAATGTGTAAAGAGTACACAACAAAGCAGGGAGCCGCTTTAAGCAGCAACTTCACCAGAGATTTTACAGTAGGATGGTTCCTGAAGATCACAGAGCTGCTGCTGTTGATGCTGGCAGATTTCAAAATGAACTCTGAACTCTCCACCTGCAAAAATGTCAACACACCTTCAGTCAGCAACCAACCCTTACTATTTATAACTCAACCCAGTCAGGAAGATAGGGAAGAGGAAAAAGGGTCACAGAAAAGTCTGACTTCTGAGAAAAGCCAGAAATCTGAGTAGAAACAATAATTCTGAAATTAAAGTCAGAATTAAATCAGAATTACAAGATTAAAGTCAGAATTCTGAGATTCAAGTCAGAAATAAGAACAAAAGGTCAGATATCTGAGATTAAAGTCAAAATTTGAGATTAAAGTCAGAATTCTAAGAATAAATTTAAATCAAAAACCTGAGGTTAGAAATTTGAGATAAAACTCAGAAATCTAAGAGCAAGATTCAAGTCAGAAATCTGAGATTAAAGTCAGAAATTTAAGATAAATGTCAGAATTCTAAGATTAGGATTCAAGTCAGAAATCTGAGATTAAAGTCAGTGATCTGAGAATAAAGTCAGAAATCTGAGATTAATGTCAGAAATCTAAGATTAAGATTCAAGCCAGAAATGTATCTGAGATTAACGTCAGAAATCTACGATAAATATCAGAATTCTAAGATTAGGATTCAAGTCAGTAATCTGAGATAAAGTCAGAATTCAGAGAAAAAAAAAGTCAGAATTTTTTTCTTTTCAGTGTCCCTAATCCCCCTCTGTAGAGAGATAACAAAGTCAAATTTATAAATTTAGTAAATTTTATTATCAGTTTTGGGCGTTGAAGACAAAAAGGTTGCATGCATGCAGTCCGGCAAAATAAAGAAAAACAAACATTTCCCATCTTCTATTTCCATCAATTTGTGCAGAGATTTTATGCTCTGGTGCTTCTTTCCACCACTTCTTATTCCTGACCTCGTGCCAACCTTTTCTCCTCGCAGCAGCGTCAGAAGAACATTTACGTAACCAAAACCTTCAGGCTGGGAGATGACACATCGCCCTGACATGATGGTGCATCCCTCAGTTCTCTCTCAGGCACAAGGAAGAAGCAAAACCAACAGAGGGCAAAGGAACAACAAGCAGCGAGACGCTGAACACAAAAGGCACAACTTTGTTCTTTTAGGTTTTGACTTTGTGTTTCTGAGCTGGAAGGAGCCGATGATGTCACACACACACACACACACACACACACACACACACACACACACACACACACACACACACACACACACACACACACACACACACACACACACACACAGACACGTGAACATGCCTAATCCCAGTATGCTGCTGAGTCACAGCTGTTTCAACAAGCCAGCGAAGGAATTCACCACATATATGAGGAATCTTGGCACGGAGGTGTGTAAATGATTTACAGAACACCTGCATGTCGTCGTTATTGGGACACTTTGTACCGTCTTTACTGAGGTTTCCCTTAAAGTCCGTATGAAAGAAACTCTCAACAGATTTTGATTTCTTAATTTACAAAAGAGTCGGATTCCCTCTAAAGACTCCAGGTCTGTATCTCCTTTCAGAAAAAAACAAGACAGGTCTTGATCTCAGTAATTTCTTCTTCAGAAAGAAAATGGATTTCAAAACAAGCTTCGAGCCAGTGAAGGGTTGCATGTCTGAATGATTCAGCTTCCACCCGTGGACATCTTTTCCCCCTTACTGTTTCAAAGACAACTTGTGTATTATTCTCAAAGCAAAAGCAAACATTCCTGGTATTTTTATATTTTATCGGCAAGGCAGAAACCAACAAGAACATGACAATTCTAAAAGCAAAACCAGCAGAATGTCAGAAAAAAGTTGAGTCAGCACGTTGACGCATCAGATACGGTTCTGTGTCTGAAGCTGCTGTGTTCTTGCTCCTCGCTGCCCTCGTTCAGAGAGTAAAGCCCCGACTTCCTCTTCTTGTTGCCCATGATGGTTGGCGGAAAGAGGCGGCTTATTGAATGCAGGCCCTTAGACGCATCTGAGATGGTGTCCAGCTCCTCTTTGTGGAGAACGACCCTATCCTGAGAGGGGTGGACGTGCTGGACTTTGGGTTCTCCCATCATCTCCTTAACAATCGGGGAGATGCCTTTAGGCAGATAGTGGTAGGCCTTCTTCCCACAGTTGTCCCGTATGCTGGTGTTGGCCCGGTACTCCGCCACCAGCATGGTCATGATGCACTCCTGGTCATGCAACGCAGCGATGTGCAGAGGAGTGTACCCACCGTGGGATTTTGGGTTGACATCAACATTGACTCCTTTTTGCCTGGATGTGTCGATGATCCTCGTGAGCATTTGGCTGTTGCCACATTTAGCCACCCAGTGAAGAACCGTGAACCCAGACATGAAGTCTTTCTTCTGGACCAGATGGCAGTCGCTCAGCAGCAGGCCGTACACCTGGTTCCAGAGTCCTGCAGCACACTTCACCAGCCACTCGTGCTCAGCTTGCTCCAGGGAATACACGCAGGACGACCTGATGTACTTGGGCTCTTCTGGAGACTTCTTCACCACCCTGCCGGTCTCAGCTGAAGACGGCCTCCTCTTGTTCTTGAAGGCCTCTGATTTTGAGACCTCAGGAGGTTCTTTTGGTTGTTCCTTCAGCTTGTGGATCTCGACCCTGGTGACACTGGGTGGCACTCTAAGAGGCAAGGCAAAGGGTTTGCTCTGCAGAGGGGCTGCATCTCTTTCACCCTTGTTGATGTCAAAATTCAGCATCTTTTTGGACCTGATATCAGATCTGCTCCTCTGCAGAGCCAGCTGTATGAGGGATGGTGATTTCCCAGGGTCATTTACCTCTTCTTTGACAGCCTCATGTGCTCCCTTCACGGACCCAGCCGCATCCTCGGACTTTTCAGCCTCTGCGTGCTGCTCAGGTGGGCGCTGCTGCTCACCTACCTCTTCCTCATTTTCAGTCTTTTCCACATCCGCAGTCTGCTCACCTCCAAGCAAGTGCTGATACGTTTTCTTGAGGACAACATACCGGAATCCGTCGACTTCTTTCACAAATGCGACGTTGTTGACAAAAGTCTTGAAGAGCTCCCTGTTGCGTTCTCTCTCCGCGGGATCCACGGAGTCCACGACAGCTCTAAACTTCCCCATCAGCTCGGATTTCTTCACTTTGCCTCCCTCCGCAACCAGCAAAGAAACAATGGAATCTTGAGTAAAAGCCATGAATGCAACAGAAGTTAACCTGTCTGTGCTCAACAGCCGTGTCCACTCGCACACAGACACCTGAACTCACTGCTCTCCTTACCTGTAGGAGTGTTTTTTCCCAGTGTGTGCAGACGTAGATGCAATTTGAATAATATATGCAAATAATTTACATAAAGGGGGAAAAAAGAAGCAGGAAGTAATCATTCCTAATGATATTGATCTAATTTAAGTCCGCATAACCTGTAGTGTCTTCTTCAAAATAAAAGCTTTCTTAAAGCTCGTTGTTGGGGTTAGCTGTCCCTGCGCAAAACTTACGTAAATGTAGCTTTTTTATTTACTGATAAAACAGAATAAAAGCTGTGAAAATGGCCATAAACTTACCACTATAGTAATATAGTGCCTAACAGTGCCCGATAGACAGAATGATAGCTGATATCTCTAACTTCATTCTCTGACAGGAACTGGCCATGTTGAAACAAAGATGAAAACTAGAGTCAAGATATATTTTCATAACTTCACAGTGGGCGTTTAGCTGCTACTCGTGACGTCAAACAATTCTCACACACACACACACACAAAAAGAAAAAACCATCAGCTATTTAAAAATGAGTAGGCTGATTGGTGCTTAATTTAGTGCGCACGCGCATGGATCAGAAGACCTTTATTTTGTCTTTTGCTTACTTTAAAGCATTTGTTTTCTGTTTGGTTAGTTATTAGTTGTCTCCTGTAGTAAAAAAAAACAAAGAGATTTTAAAGTTTTAATTTAAATTTTCTGGTAAAACTGCACCGTACAAAGCCTCGGTTGAGCGGAAGAACAAAGATTAAGCGAAGTAACAGGGAACTATCTTGTCGCCTTGCTAGCTAGTTGCCTCCCTGAGCTTCTAGCTCCTCTCCGCCTTGTGGCTCCCTCTTCCTGTCTCTATCGGCTCACCTCAGTAGTTTAGCAGGCTTGCACGGAGAGTCGAGGGCTGTTCCCTTTCGCCTCTGCCCAGCACGCCGAAACCATACATTCCCCACCATGGCTGCCACGGACGTTGACGTGTTTTCGGTAAGCAAACGACACATTTCATCTTTGTTGGTTCCGTGTTTTGGAACTGATTACAGTAAAGATATGAAAGTGCAGCTTCAAGATTTCTAGTGTGCAATGTGCGTTTGTGTGTTAGCTGTCGTGCGGGTGTGTAGTAAAGCCTCCCACCCCCTCCTCCTGAAGCTATGTGGGCTTTGAAAACACGGTGGGAATAATTTATATTTATTTTAGACAAACCAGTCGTGCCTTGTAACATTTAATAATTCAAATGCGTCTATCCACTCAAGTGTGGCTGCTCGTACGCGTAGCGCTAACGCAGCCAGAGTAATTACGCTGTCATATTTGTTTTGCTAGCAGATGGAAGTACTAGCTTTGATAATGTGAGGAATAATTCCTTTAAACTCCCCGTTTTGTTCTATATATGCACCTGAAATCCATTCGAGGGGTTTTGTTTTAATATACTGTAATATTGTTGGATTTTCCTGCGAAATACAAACAAGAAAATTGTGTTCTAGCAGTTCCAGAAGGACACGTTTTAGTTTTTCAAGGTAAAAAAAAGTCACAAATCACAATTTAATAAACTGTCAGTTATTGCGAAATTTGTTTTGAAATGCCTTTGAACTTCTTTCAGTCTTATATTAAGCCAAAATTATTGATAACTATTGATAGATAATGAGATTACACCTTTTTACAGTTGCTTACTTTTTGATTATTACATTTAGTCTGGATTAGATCATAATCTGCTTGTACCAAACCCTACACACTTCCACATACCCATCTGATAGTAGAATCATGTTGCATTTTTAAATTTAGGGGCATAAAACTACACATTTGGTTCCCCCGCATTGACTCAACGTGTTACATTTACACGTAAGAGTAATTAACAGCCAGATGCTCATCCTTCCTTCATAGATGATGACAGCGTTAGGCTGGGCAAATGATCAGATTTAAGTGGAATCCAACTATTATTTGTTCAGTGAGAAACCATGTTGTCAGTCAGGTTTGATCTTGCAGGATCAGTTCGGTGGGACAGCAAAAGGTTTTGTGTGCATGGTATTAATACCCCCTAAAAAAGAAAATGTGGGTCATATTTTAGTAGTGCAGCAACCCATACATGTTGGAGGGGATTTAAAGAGGAAGATGAACATTTTGCCAGTTCCATGCTCGAAAAGGTCCCTGAATTTGGACAGTAGGCAGCATAGAGATCCAGGGATAAAGAGATTAAGAACGTAGTCCGTGCCACTCCTACTACTTATTAGTGCAACACGCTGTTAAAGAAAGGAAAGGATCCAAAACAGAGGATCCAGCTGATTTTGCACTCTTAGCACTCCTAATTTAGGATTGGGTCCAAAATCTGGATTTAACTAAAGTGTCTCTTTGGAATACAGAATGAGAGGATTGATTCCTGAGAAAAAATGCTGAGAATGCAGTGAAACGGGCCAGTGTTAGCAGCAATACAGCTGCCTGGCTTCCTATCTAACTTTCTGAAGTGAGTGAGATCCCGATAAACAAACATGCTCCCTTGGATGTTTTTATGAAGCTTTTAATTACGTGCAGCTTTCAGTGGAGATCAGTTGGACCGTTGGCTCACATCGATCGTGTCTGGAGGCTGCATTGGGACGACTTTCTAGGCCAGATACACACAAGGCAATCAATGAGATAGCCTAATAAGTGTTATTGTTTTCAGTTTGCTCACATCATATTCTTCCATAAAATAACTCTTATTTAAATTGTTGTGAAACGAAATGGCCTTCAATGGTGCTTGCTGACTCCAACGTACATGGTTTGTCCCTTGAGTCCTGCATGCATAAAATTAAATCAGCTTCGTAGAGTGCTTCGAACCAAAAAGCAGGGATTAAAGACACTATAGTATGTTTATTTAGAGATGTAAAGAAAAATAACTCTGAGTTTTATATAAATCCTAGTTTTAGTGGGAAAAGCCTTGGGCAGATTGTGGATCATGTTACTGACTGTTCCGTGTCGTGTCATTAGCTACATAAAGAACATACAATCCAGAGCTGCCTTAAGGCTAGCTTGTCAACCCTGTAACATGGATGGATAATGACAGTCAAGCTGCAGCGTCTGTGGTGATGAGTCAAATCCATCTAAGCATCAGCATGTATATTAAAAAAGATTCACTGAGCATTAAATACCTCTCAGAATAACGTTAGCAAGAACAAAATGCTCAGATACCCCGTGTGAAATTAGATTTTTTTTATTTTACTTGCTTTCCTGGGAAAATGCATGTCTGAATGTTAAATATTAAATGACATCACTCTCATCAGCTGTTGGATAGCTTGGAGGCTCGATACTATTTCATAACCTCGTAACAGTGGATTCTTTTTAAAAAGCTGTTTTTGCCGTTGAGCTGCATTATATATTATTGATAGTTTAGTGTTTGCCTGGGTAGTAAAATAGTGGGCATATCTGAATATTGCTTGTCTTTCCTAAATTTTTCTAAAAACAACTTGAATGGTAATTTACTGCAGCTAAAACAATGGAAGCATTTCCCCCTTATCAGGTAGGTTCCAAATTTTATATTTTGTGCGGTACAATTAAAGGGATTCCAGAACAACTTATTTTTTAAATTGGAAACCTTTGTTTCAGCCTCAGTGTAACATGATCAACTTTGTTGGGCTCAAAATGACTCAAGAGCCCTAATTAATGGCCAAATACAACCTCATAATAAAGCCCTACAATGGAAAGACTGGTTTACCCCACCCACTCATCCATGTCATGAATATTAAAAGAGCTGTGTGCTGACTGGCCAGTTTATCCGAGTGGCTCTATGATGCTGCCTGAGGCTAGCAACTGTGTAGAGCCATGTACAGTATCCAGATAACTAGAGATGTCCCGATACAACTTTATCACTTCCGATGCGATACCGATATTGCAGCCTTCAGTATTGACCGATAGCGATATTAATCTGATACGATATCAGCACAAATCATACATACTTTAACCTATTTTGTAGTGTGGAATGTATGAAAAGCTTGACAATCGGAGAACAAGAGCCAATGACAGTAAGTGTGGAAAAAAATGAAACGTTTGTAGCCATTGGTTGCAATAATGTGAACCTTAAGAAACTGTTTATATTGGATATTTTTGATGCCGTCCGATATAATCCGATACAGTGTTTTTGGGCCGACATCAAATTTCTTCCGATATCAGAACAGGACATCCCTACAGATAACTCGAGGGAAGCTGTGGATCATTTCGGTATTCATTCAATGTCTGGACATTCCCAGCACATGCTGGAATGCTACATGTGTTCCAGGGCAACCATAAACGGTTATTGTGATAGTCAATTAATACCCAGTTATTTTGGCGATTAGTGAACTAATCAAATCATATGTAAATTGTAGTTTATAGTACCAACATGCAGCTACTCTAATATAACCATTAGGAATATGTATTGGTGAAATTCTGGTGATACAATACGTATCACAATTACAAGGGAGACCATTTATCACAATAGATTGCGATACATTCAGCCAGACGAAAATAACGATTTTTTTAGACTGAAATTATTGTAGGAAAATTCAATAAACAGTCCAAACTGATATGTAACATGTTTAACATGAGGTATCTGAACCATTATAGAGGGATTTATATTTCAGTGGTGGAAACAAAACCCATTGCACACTGCTGTTAACTAGTGGTCGGCGTTGAAATTGCAGCAAAAGAAAAGAAAATACACAAATGATTGCTTGTAAATTCTTCCAAAAATTCGATACATGGCTTTTGAATATTGATATAATATCACAGGAAAAAAATTGCGATATATTGCCATATCAATCTTTTCTTACATTCCTAATAACCATCATTAGCTTCTAACTAACCGTTGTCTCTCTAAGTGGCATGTGCGGTCTAAAAATAAAGCCGATGAAGATAATGGCTAATTCAACAACTTTTATTGAACTTCAGCTTGTAGAAAATAAGGAAAAAAGGCACTTTGCTTAAGAAACAAAAACTAAATGCTGGTTGGTAACAAGGACATTCAGTGAAATGCAGCACTTTTTAAACAAATTAATGAAGTCAGTCATAACCTTACAGCAAACATTAAAAGCTGCTTTTATAAAACAATGCCACCAATTTGCTGCGAAGCTGAGGCGGCATCTGGTATGTCTAAGCTTATTAAGGTGTAAACCAGCTTTTCTAAGACTTAACCGTTTCTCCGTGGTCATTATATTACTAATTTATGCAGGAAAGCAGGTCAGAGATGGCACAGATTCTTTAGTACGTTACAGTAGACACCCCAAGCTGCCTATATTCAACAAACACAAGGTAACATGGTTTTGAATAGAACTCCATATTCTTCTTTTTATTATTGGTTTAACAACAGCATTCTGTGACATTATGTACTCATAGATCTAGATTTATTATTTGAATGTATAATAAAAGTAAAGTCAATCTGGTTTAACACAGGGTATCCGCGGGTCCTTAAAAAGTCTTAAAAAGTCTTAAATTTGCTTTTCAAAATTTAAGGCCTTGAAAATCCTTAAAAATGACATAATCCTTAAATCCAGTTTCCAAAGGTCTTAAATGACCAAAGACCAAATAAACAAGATTATTTCATTTCTATAAAATTTTCGTGAATTTCTAGTGTTCTGAATTTTTTGTGTACGATGTTGGCGTAAGCGGAACCGTACACGTTCAGTTGGTTGTGAAAGGGGGCTATTTGTAGATGAGCACATTAGCTGGTTAAGCTAGTGGGAGCTTGCGCCATGGGGAAGTGCAAGTTTAATGGTAACTGGATGGTTAATCCCACGTTCGCAACGTGGTTAGCACCGTTTCCAGGCAATAGCTGGAAATTATAGCTTAAATTTAATTTTAAAAATAGCTTAAATTTGGTCAAAGTGGCCTTAAAAAAGGTCTTAAAAAGTCTTAAATTTGGCTCCTTTAAACCTGCAGATACCCTGTAACATTAAGAGTATTTTTTAAAACTTTTGTCGTTTCATCGGTTTTCAGAAGAACACTTCATGTTTTCCAAAAGCTCAGTGCGCCGCTGCCTCTTTAAATGCTTCCTGTCTCCTCTCGTCTGTCTCACTCACTTTTTTTTTGTTTTGTCTCTTTCCCGTTGGAGATAAGATGAGTGACGATGAGGCTGAACATGACATGAATGTGGAAACACGCAGAGGAGTGAGCGTGTTCAATTAGATTGTTAAAAACTAGAAACTAGCTTCAAACCCTTTGTGCCTGTGAGTTTCTAATGGCTGACAAATCCTAACCGTCAACATTTTTGCCATCACAACGTCACTGCCAGCACAAGTGGCTTCACGAAAAGGATAGTGCAACAATCTTCAACCTGTAGGTGTGGTTAGGGCTGACGAATCTTTGTTCTGAATATAATAATGGAGTTATGGAAAATGTTGACACTTTGAAAGGAAATACATTTTTTAACTAACTAACTAGTGGTTTGACAGGAAGCACGAGCCAAAACCTTCCGAGTATGAGTTTTGGTTGGTCACTGTGGTTGACATGCGGTCTTCTCACAAATTCCAAATTCATTTCAGCACTTTGTCAGTAAGCCCACAAACTGACATCTGCACATTCTTAGCTTGCGACACACCAAGATGGCTTTGTCCAAGCATTTTTTATTAGAAAATTCAAATTGAGACTTTTTATTGTTTATTAGTGTTCGAATCCAGGGGCTACATCCTTCAGAGTACGCAATTCAAAGCCAATCATGTCACAGGTAAGTGACAAGGCTTTCCAAATTCCAAGGATAATAAAAATGCATGCGTGCACAAATTACGCTTCAAATCAGTGCAAGTTACAACAGACAGCCATTTTAATCACACGTAGGCGGCAGCAGCCAGCAAGTATATTTCCAGCTTAAGACTCACTGTGGGTCGAGTAGAAGGTTTTTGTTTTTGTAATAACGATGAACAAAAGGGGAATGTTTTACAGTTTTACATGTTCGTATATTAATATCTGATGTTTAAAAAAACTTGAAGCAGTTATGATGTCAGTCTTTTTTGTTTACATATATTTTTGGCAAAAATAATAATAAAATTATTCGTAAACCAGCTTGTATGGCGGGTCCCGTATCTCCATGTATTGCTGCTAAGTTTAGTTTTAGCTTCCAATATTGATGGACTTAAATATCGCAATATTTTGTGTTATGATACTGAATCAATATTAAGAAGTAGTGTTGTCGACTTTAAATGAGAATTTACATGCAAAGCTGTACTGTATTTCTTTTGTGTGGTGCAATTCAAACTCCCACAGCTAGTGGGCAGCACTTTTTACCGCCTTCATACTGATGGAACGAGACCTTGTAATTATTCTGAATTTGTCTTGGAAGTGGCTGGCCTGAGCTTTCCAATTAAATTCATTGCAAATATCGTCTGGCTTTTAGTATCGTGTCGTCTTTCCTGTATTGTGATATCGTATCACCAGATTCTTGCCAAATACACAACCCTATTGTGAACATTTACACCAGGGTTATTCAATTGCGGGCCTCGAGGGCCGGTATCCAGCACGTTTTAGTTTTAACCCTGCTTCAACACACCTGATTTCAATCAGCAGGTGATCACCAGGCTTCTGCAGAGCCTGATGACCTGCTGCACATGTGACTCAACCACTTAATCTAGTGTGTTAGACCAGAGAAACCACTAAAACTCGCTGGTTACCGGCCCTCCAGGCCTGAACTTGAATAGCTCTGGTCTACACCCTTTAGCAGATTGTGTCTCAGAGCAGGAAGCAAATTAAGTGTTTTCTTTGTCTGATGCAAACTTGTTGAATTTAGTCATATATAAGCAAAAATTACAGTGTTGGTGGCTCAGTGAGGCAGAAATTTAGCAAAAACATGACAGAGAGGAATCATACATCTGGACCAGAAGGTGAGATGAGCAGAAGAGAGGATGAAAGGATGGGTGGAGGGGAGGGGAGGTTGTGTCCACAGCTGATGGAAAAGTGATTGTTAGTTTGGGGCATCCACTTCCTGTTGGCCTGGGAGTTGCCGTCTCATCACAGTTAACCAGAAGCTTCTTATTCCTGTTGTTTTTCGTTCCACTTCTCTGCTTTTCTTTTCTCCAAATGAGGAAGAATCAGTTGACCAGCTGGAGCTTCATAGTTCCTCAGACAGCTCCTATCTGATTTGATGTTTTTAGGTCAAGTAAAGGCAGATTTTTAGTTTCTTTTTAGCTTCGACATGTCAAATTTATAAGTCAACTGAGAAATGTTATCCTATATAAACGGGGAAATTTGATCTAAATGGTAACTTAAAAAAACATTTAATTTTTGATTGGTACTTTTCTTCTAGAACTCACTTTTAATGCTAATTGTTGTTGAGTTTTATTGCGTTTCATGTGACGTTTTGTGCCAGTCTTTATAAACGTCTAAGTGAGATGAAGCTTTTCCCTCATTTAAACCCTCCCCCAAAGAGCTAGTCGCTGCATTGGCTTTCTTTCAGGCACACACGCCCTCCTCCTTCAGGAATCCAAGTATCTCTGCATACTTCAGTCAGCAAGCTTAATGCTGTTGGCCGAGCTGTGAGTGTACTGTAAACACCAGAGATGATGGCCTTTTTCTCATTCCTTTTAGATCGCCACAAACAGGAAATCAGAATTTTGAGTCAGAGAATCTTTAAAAAAAGACTCAGTTCATGGTGGATTTGTCACTTCTTCCCAGACTTATGAAGTCCCATTCCTCTTTTTCCTAAAAACCCAGCTGTCATTCACACCTTTCTCAATGTTTTTTGGTGGACTTGGATCCGGTTTAGTACATTTAGACCGTCTCCACCTCTCAGCTCCTAGGCTGCTTGTGACATCAGCCTTCCAAGTATGCAGTCCAATGTGGTTGAGCCAGATGAAATCTCTTTCTGCGCTCATACCAAGGTGCTGTCTCCTCTCTCTCTAACTGCTGTGGCCTAGACGAGGATAGTGGGGCTTTTATCTGCTAGCTTTAGGTTTGTTTTGTGCATGTAGTTCTCTGAAATCCACTTTTGTTTAAAGCATTTTCCAGAATTTCTTCACTATTGTGGTGACAATCTTGTCTTGTCTGTATAGCTGAGTTTAACTTCCTGCATTCTGCGTGCATTAAGTTATTTTTTAAAAGTCCATGGTTGCATCCATCTGATTTTCTCTCTTCCTCTACGCTAGATTATTCTTTAAGCTCATCCTGACTGAATGCTCTGGAATATCATGAAGCCTGTAGCTGATGGCCGTTACATCTACAGATCAGACAGAGGCTCTTTGATGTTTACTTGCACAGGAGTGTGAATTTACTGAGTAAAGCCTTAACTGTGTTTCCCTCCTCACCTGCTCCAGATTTCTAATGTTTTGTCTCTGGTCTCAGAATGAAGAGAAGCGCAACCTCAGCTTGGGTGGCCATGTTGGATTTGACAGCCTTCCTGACCAGCTGGTCAGTAAATCGGTCACACAGGGTTTCTGCTTCAACATTCTGTGTGTAGGTGAGTCACAAATGGTGGGAAATGCCATATTTATTTTATATTGATCGTGATAGTTTCCGTAAAAATAAGTGATGATGGAAATGGCTGAATTGCTTCCTGGTGATGGACTAGTTTACCTCTTTTATTTATTTATTTATTTATGTTGTTGCTTCTCTCCATTTACAGGAGAAACAGGCATTGGAAAGTCAACGCTAATGAACACACTTTTCAACACAATGTTTGAGAATGAAGAGGCAAGCCATTACCAGAACGGTGTGTATTTGCGGCCGCGAACGTACGACCTCCAAGAAAGCAACGTCCACCTCAAACTCACCATTGTCGACACGGTTGGCTTCGGTGACCAGATCAACAAAGAGGATAGGTGAGTTTTAAACCAGAAATCTGTGGCCTCCTTTATCAAACGCACTTACGCACAGATCTGTGCGTATGTTGGGCGTAGGAACAATTCTACTCATTGTGTGGTATCAATCATTTTGTGCTTGTGTGTAGAAACGTTCCTATATTTACGAACATCTCTGACCGAGTGTACGCACAGCACCTAGTGGCAGAACGGGGAAGCACAATACCAAATGTCATCCAAATGTGTTTCTCGTCCACACATTTTATTTATCCAGTATGTAGTTATGTCCATGGAAAAACGGCTTTTCGCATAATTGGTGCTATAACCAACAAAAGACACCAGTGACCGACAGTAATCTGGCATTATATCACGGCTGTTCTGTCCTATTGGAGGATTTACCAGAGCGCTCTGATCTCAAAGGAAATCCTTCTGCTATGCTCAGATGTGGGACCCTTTGTGGAACAACAGATAAACCGCTCAATCCGATTCCAGTTCATATTTTCTTTTACAACTACGAGAACCCCCCCCAGAACCTCCTCTGCTCCCCAGCTCAGGAGAGGCCGAGGCTGCGCTCGGAAAACATTTCCAAATGAAACTAACTCCACACAGAGCTGCTCCTTAACAACCCGTTAGTCTACGATTTATCAGATTCATTTTTATTTATTTCTGACGGGAACCTCTCCTCTGTCCCGACCGCGTTTGTAACCTCTGCAACCTGTTTAGTTCTTTAGCGCTTTGGCAGCCAGTGTTTCAATCTTGCTTTCAGTAAAGTTTTCCTTTATTTTTTTTATTAAAAAAAAAAAAAACAGGGAATCCTCACGTGCTGAGGATGTAGCATGACCAAATATGGTTAATTGAGGGCATTTCTGTATGTAAATGACAGTGAACGGACACGAGCACCTGGGTACGCACAGGTGGGATTTATATTCAGACAATTGCGGAGGAACGTGCGTACGCATGTTTCATAATCAGTCTTTCGACTGTTCGTACACACATTCTAAATTTCGGTTGTAGGAGGGAATATAGGACAGTTTATACGAACGTTTGATAAATGAGGCCCCTGGAGTTTCTGCTCAGAGGGCACCATCTAGAGGCAGAAAAATGTATTGCACTTTCAAGCCCCTCTACACGCTTCCGTGATTAGGGCTGGTAGCAACGCCTCTCAGTCATAAACGCACGCTTCTAGTTAGCCAGCAGAGCAAACACACATTGTTTTACAATTATCATAATTAAGTATGATGTTTGTTTTGCTAACATCACCCATAATTCTTGAAAGAAACTCCCGATTGCTGCTTTAAGCAGTAGGAAATTTATTTGAAAGTTTGGGGTAATTTCACAGATTGTGCCTCCACTTTTCAGTCATGAGTATTTAAATGTTAATTTCAGTCAGTCTTCATCCAATCAGCGCTTCCTCTTCCCAAAATGACATCGTCCTGATGGACACACACGAGAGACAAACTAAACCACTTTAGAATTCATCGCATTTTTTCACGTCCCTGTAGAGTTGAAGTGGGAGAAAGTAAAAGAGGAAGCTGCTTGTTTAAAAACATCCAGCTGTGGAATGACGAGTACTTGTTGTGTCGCGGCCAGCAAGCTGCAGTCTCACGCTCTCTTTGGGGCATAAAAGCCAACATGCTGAAGGACGGGGTCTGCATCAGGCTGAAAAGCGCTCTGAGGGAGCTTCAAAGGGTCAGTCTGTGCATTCCTCAGAGAAGATTGAAGATAGATGTGAAGGTGACTGTAAACATGGTGCTAACTGAGAAAATAGACCAGATGTTTGACTCATCTGAGTTTTAGTGATATGCAAACTTGTATTTTGTCCCCAAAAACTAGATTTAAATAGAAAGATAGGCATTGTAACAACTGAGGTATGATTAAAGGAATAATTATATCCATTTAATCTCTTAAGGGTATTGTTTCCATTGCAGTGATCCTGATGAGACTCTTGTTGTTTGGATTGTTTTTAGCAAACTAATCTTTATGAAAATCTGCAGCATGTGCCAGTTTTTTTTATTTACTTTTTCCATTCATGTTTTATTATTTTTCTTTGTTTATTAAAAAAAACTTAAATTTGAAGTCTGAACTGTTTTAACTCCTGAGAGAACTGAATGTTTTTGTTTGTTTGCTGTTCTGTGATTAGTTTTAACCAAACGTTAGTAAGATGAACCCAAATATCACACAGACCTAGTGTGTGCAGCTGGAAGCTGAGACTCTGGCATCCAATCACAGTGTGGCAAACTAAAAAACATAACCGTCTCTGTTTATTTCCCCAGTGACGAGCTCCTACTTTCCTTCACATTCATTACCAATGCAGGACTGAGAAGAGCGACGTATTGCTTTGACCCAAATGAATGAATCCGGTTTTTCTGGCTCTCTCCCCAGCTACAAGCCCATTGTTGACTACATTGACACTCAGTTTGAAAACTATCTGCAAGAAGAGCTGAAGATCAAACGGTCGCTTTTTAACTACCACGACACCAGGATCCACATCTGCCTTTATTTCATCGCTCCAACGGGACACTCCCTCAAATCACTGGACCTCGTCACAATGAAGAAACTAGACAGCAAGGTACACACACACACACACGCACGCGCGCGCGCACACACACACACACACACACACTTTGCCTCTGGCTAAAACACTCGATCCTGGTTGCTGGTTGTGTGATAAATATGAATGTTGCTGAAATCCGACCTCCTGTTTTTTTTTAGGGAATTTCTCTGAAACGGCTCCTTTAAGGATTCTTGTCTGTAAAAGAATAACAACAACATGCAAGTGTCCATTTTGCATTATGTGTGTGTACAAGAAGCCATCTTTGGCGTCAGCTCTGTGGGCTGTTTATCAATTTAGTTTATTTCAAAAGTTTTTCGAGAAAAAAAAGAAAAGTAAAATAAACCAGAAAAAATATGTAAAATTATTTCACTCTTCAGCCCTAATTTGTTGAAAGTCATCATTTTTGCACCCTGTGTAAAAATAACTTTAATTTTTACAAGTGAATATTTAAATTAGTTTTGTTAAATATATAAATAAGAAAAAAAAACTTATTTTATTTTATTTCCAATACACAATTATATCAAATCCTTCAAATTAATTTCCACTTCCTGTTGGATATATTTGCAGTTGACATGTTTTCAGCTCAGTGCACCGCTGTATCCCAGTCAATAGTCTCCCTCAGAAACAAATTGATTTGTGGCTTTTTTATTGCTTGCCTGTGAGTATTACTACACATATTATTGGCTGGTACATGACCCGTGTTTTCTCATATTGCAGCTCCGTGTTGCTCACTTGAAACACAACCGCTGGTGTTGCTTCAGTCGGACAATTATAAACCAAATCTCATAAAAACAAGTGGACGGTGGGCGTGTCTGAAAAAACAATAAGTCGTCTACTTGAAGTTTCAACTGTAACTTAATACTGGGAGCTGGATTTGTATTTCTCAAAAGAGACGTGATATTATTCATACTTAATTATGTTTGTGGGTGTAACTCCGAAATGACCACAGTGGCTCGGCTTCCTGACGACAGGCGCTTCTGCCTTGTTTATTAAACGCCGTGAAAACTACACACAGAAAAACAGTAGCTTCAAAACTTCATTCTTTGAAGATAAATATATGCTTTAGCAAGAAAAAAGAAATGCCTAGTGGCCGCGTGCCACTTCGGAGGTCCAAATTGAGTACAACTAGTCTTCCTGTTTCTAAATTAACACACAAAATAAGTACAATACTACACATAGCAAATATTTACAATATTACACACAAACACAACAAGTTACCTTGAGTAATTGGCAGCACAGGTGCTGCGGATGGCTCAGACAAAGCGGTTTTCGTGCTTCTTCATGCACATACAAGTCTCATCTCACATCTCACATCAAATCTCGCGATAATTCGGTGAGGAAGATACCACTTGTTCCAAAATAAAACACAGATTTACAATACAAACAAATATTTATATATTTTAACTTCTGGAACTAAATACGAGTATTTTTATGACACTTACAGTGGGTATTTCAAAGAGTTGAGATCATAGAATTTTTTTTCATGTTTGCATAGCACAAAGATAAAAGGATGACGGATAAGAATGCAGTTGATCCTAATGTTGGTTGTTAGGTCCTAAAAGCTGCTTTAAAGACCAAAAACGTGCAGTTTTTTGTGTTTACTAAACTCTCACAGTGGCTGAACACGGAGATCCATGGCCTCCCGCTCCCAGAGATCATGTTTACTTCCTCTACAGTGATTCATTGTTATGACTACTGATAGCGCTGCTGCAGAAATGACAGTGGCAGCCTTTGTGCAGTTGGTTGATAATAAATTCAGAACAAAACAGATGGCGATCCTGTGCCTAGAACCTGCTGCCTTACCTCTGCCAGCTATCAGTGCAGGGCTGCATATCTGCCAAATGCTGCCTGATCCTAATTATAATGGGGACATGCACTTAAGGCAAATTTATTTTTAAATAAACCAAAATAGTAATGAGATTATAGGAAGTCAGTGCAAAATGTTTCAACAATATATTTTAAAACAATTGAACCCAACACATACAAATGTAGTTTTGGACTCATATAGTGAAGTCATGGTTTTAAGCACTTCAGAGACAAGGCAGAGATTCAAATTCAGGACTTACTGTGAGTCAATGGTTCTTACCACAGAGTATCAGTGTAACGTTTAACAGCCAATAGAACAATCAAAACCTGGCACAGCACTTATCAGCTGTCTCTTGACACAATCAAATAATATCTAGGCACACGGAGCCTAATCAAAGCCATGTACTAGAAATAAAAGCTTGAGATATTTTACTCTGTGTGTAATAAATCTCTAACGAATGAGTAGCAACCAGGAACATTATTCGAAATAAAATATTTTTTGAAGAATTTAAAAAGAAATTTAAAAAAGTTTTTATATGCACATGGGCAAACCAGAGTTTTTCACATGTGTTCATGATGGCTTTTGATTTCATGTGTCCTGTTGTGAAGCTTTTAACGTTTGTATTTATGAGCTGTATTCACATATGTGAATATATACATACCAAATAAGTGTATGGCAGGTTTTCATATGTGTGTTAAAGGTCTTCTTGTGTGTGTGAGGTTTTCACATGTGTTCATGAGACATTTTTGCATGTGCATATTACGTGCATGTATGTGGTTTTCAATTTGCATATAAGAGGTTTTACCATTTGCAAGTTTTCACATGTGCATATTAAAAGGTTTTCATGTGTGTATGACAATTACACATTTGCGTATGAAACATTTTCACATTAGCGTATGAGAGGTGTTTACATGTACGTGTAAGGATTTACATGTATGTTTTCACATGTACGTATGAGAGGTTTTCACATGTACATATGAGAGGTTTTCACATGTACATATGAGAGGTTTTCACATGTACGTATGAGAGGTTTTCACATGTACATATGAGAGGTTTTCACATGTACATATGAGAGGTTTTCACATGTACGTATGAGAGGTTTTCACATGTACATATGAGAGGTTTTCACATGTACATATGAGAGGTTTTCACATGTACGTATGAGAGGTTTTCACATGTACGTATGAGAGGTTTTCACATGTACGTATGAGAGGTTTTCACATGTACGTATGAGAGGTTTTCACATGTACGTATGAGAGGTTTTCACATGTACGTATGAGAGGTTTTCACATGTACGTATGAGAGGTTTTCACATGTACATATGAGAGGTTTTCACATGTACGTATGGGAGGTTTTCACGTGTACATATGAGAGGTTTTCACGTGTACATATGAGAGGTGTTCGCATGTGCGCATGGGAGGTTTTCGCATGGGAGGTTTTCACATGTACATATGAGAGGTTTTCACATGTACGTATGGGAGGTTTTCACGTGTACATATGAGAGGTTTTCACGTGTACATATGAGAGGTGTTCGCATGTGCGCATGAGAGGTGTTCGCATGTGCATATAAGACGTTTACATGTGTGTATGAGAGGGATTCACATGGGCTTATGAGGTAATTTAAATCAATATCCTTGGCAACTCCTCACATGCATAAATGATTAAACCTTTTCGCCAGATCCTAACTTTTGGAGCTGCAGCTGTGCATTCCCCTGATGATTTAGTGTGTTTGCACAAGACCCATCAGTCTTCTTGACGGCATGCTTATTGAATCTGCTGAACATTCAAACTTTACATAGAAAATCTGAGTCAAATACCTGATTCTCTGAAATTAGGCAACAGAAATAACCACACTGGGAACTAGTGAAGTTAGTTTTTCCTATGACATCACCCAGATTCTACCAGCTTTCATGTGTCTGCTGACCCTTTCACCTGCACATCCCCTGTAAGGTTAAGTCACAGCTAACTGTAGATTGGGTACATTTTTTCTGTGATTAATTCTACACGGAAGCTGTTTTAGTATGTTTGCAGCTGTTGGTCCTGATTGTTCACAGCAAACAGAACTATTTTGGGGGTGCTGGGAAAATCCAGCTGTGGGAAATGAACAGAGTCAGTGCTATCTGACTGACTACGTCCAACCATACACTCTCCATCTGCCTCAGTGGCTGTACTACGCTGATGTTGGGCGCTGGACTGTGATTAGTGAACACAGTTTATTAAATAAGAGTTAAAACATGATAAGTTACTGCTAGTTGCAGATTAACGATCCAGTAAAGTATGATGAGGTTGTAATTCGACTCCTAATGAGCTCTGGCTTTTGCTCACAGGCACACTGAGAAACTGATGAGTGCATCTCATCATCCTGATTGTGGTGAAACAGCTGTATGGAGGATTGCAGGCAAACTTGTTTATTTCTGCACATCTGTTGTTGATCGTAGATGGAGCCTGGTTTGTTTTCACAATCGCTCTGTTGTAGGAATGTCCTCGTGTTCTGGCTAAACTCATTCTGTGTTCAGCTTTGCTGGATTAGTTGTTGTATCCTTTGACTGCCACTTTGCCGTCATAATATTGCACGTATTTTGTAAAATCTTGCAGCTTTTGGCGTTCAAATCTAGCCGAGTCAATGTTTGTTGTCATCTAGAGAGATGTAATCTATAATTTGCTATACGTGGTTCTGTAGCAGAATAGTAGACATTAGGAAATGCGGGAAGACATTTGTGCTTATGATGGTTGCTGTGACTTCAGCGGTGTGATTTGAACTGAACATCTTCTTCATGACTTTGTGACGAGAGGAATTTGTGTCTGTGATGCTCTGAAAACGTTTGGCTCATTAAGTATTTCTGTTTGTAAAAAGCCTGATGGACAAGTTTCATCCCATCAGCATCATGAGAGATCACGAACTTTAAACATGAACATTTTTAACACGTGTATTTATGTTGGCGTCCTTTCCTCAGGTCAGTATCATTCCCATCATCGCCAAAGCGGACACGGTCTCCAAGAGTGAGCTTCATAAATTCAAAATAAAGATAATGAGTGAGCTTGTGAGCAACGGCGTCCAGATATATCAGTTCCCAACGGACGATGAAGCTGTCAGCGAGATCAACGCCTCCATGAATGTAAGTTTTAGCCTCCTAATGTGTTTTTGGATACGTCACTTTCAGTTTATTCCCCAACGTGCGTGCTATTACCACTCGAGTGTTTTATCTGTTAATTCTTTTTTAACTGTTCGGAGGAGATGTTTGCAGATCCAAGATGATTATAGTAAATAAGAAAATTTGGGTTAAATATCTGTTGTTTTTCATGGAATCTGACACAACCGCACATGCCCTTTCATGTAAAACTGCACCAGTGACAAATGACACCACATTTATTTTCCCTTGGCATTTTCCTTTTACAATATTTTGATCTATTTATAGTCCGTTACATCAGTGGCCCGCTCTCAACAGCTTGTTCCCTTCAGCTTTATTCAGCCAACTGGTTTCAGCTCACCATCTTAACTTTGAGGTTTTCCGCGCGGTGAGCGACAGAGGCATGGTGGATGTGTCCATTCTGCTGTGATGGCCAAAGAAAGCAAATTAATTGTGATGCAGAAGCCGTAGAAGCGCTTGATCTTTTCAACAATTGTGACCTCTTTTCCCGTGCAGGCCCATCTGCCGTTCGCTGTTGTAGGGAGCGTGGAAGAGGTCAAAGTAGGGAACAAAACGGTGAGGGCCAGGCAGTATCCCTGGGGAGTTGTGCAAGGTAAGGACTGTTCACAAGAAAGTCAGTGTTTGATTTCACAAGCATACACAACCATGTATTGTTTATGGGGTCAGGTATTTTTTTAAATTTATTTTTATTATCTACGACAGAGCACACAGATGGAGAGTCTAAAGGCAAACATAGATTTCGTGACAACATTTCATTCACTGTTTTAAGTTAAAGGTGAAGTCAGGACAAACAATCTTACCGATCAAAGCATTGTTCGTCTAAATAGTTCTGACTATAAAAAAGTCATAAAAACTGTAAACCTTTCATGATAAATTAGGTGTTTTGTGGGAGAATTATTTTACATTTTCTCGACAAGGTTTGTGCAGCCATGTATTTTGGGTCTGAGTCAAATGCACCATTAAAGATGGCACTTTGGTGTAGTGTGTTCACGTTCATTAGCAGTATTGGCAATGCAATCCTCCACGTCGAGAGGAGCCAGTTGAGGTGGCTCTGGCATCTGGTCAGGATGCCTCCTGGACGCCACCCTGGTGAGGCTTTCCGGGCACGTCCAACTGGGAGGAGACCCAAGGGAACACCCAGGACATGCTGGAGGGACTATGTTTCTCGGCTGGCCATGGATCGCCTTGGGATTCCCCTGGAAGAGCTGGCCCAAGTAGCTGGGGAGAGGGAAGTCTGGGTGTCTCGGCTTAGGCTGCTGCTCCCACAACCCGACTCTGGATAAGCGGCTGAAAATGGATGGATGGATATTAGCAATGCAGGGGTTCTATAGGGTCGGCTCATCGGTCCCCAGAAGTCAACGGGGCTAAAAGAGCTATTTTCTAATCCACTTTGCCTTTAACCCTGAGTTGCACATATGTTGGACCTCAGTTTAGATGAAAAGTAATGATCTGTGTTTCGACCACACCTGTCACATACTTTGAGATTTATCAGCTTGTAAAAATTTGCAATTACTATGACTACAAATCAGAATAAAATCACTTTTTTTCCCCTGTTCAAAAATAAGCACTTTCTTGGCATCTGAATGTGACTTTAAAATCTATGAACATCATATATGTAATCCATGGCTTATAACAAATGGTATTAGAAAATATATTTTTTAGCCTCATTGACATGCGTTCATTTTTTTCCTTCTTCTGGGGACCCACGGTCTGAAAGAAGACGGGCGTGAATTAGGCTCCTTATTGTCTTGATGATGTGTTCACCACTTAAAGTGCAGTTTTACGTGATCACCGCTCAGCATTATCCATTAGCATATATGTATTCATATATATATATATATATTACTACATATATATATATATATATTACTACATATATATATATATATATATATATATATATATATATATATATGCTAATGCTAGCGGCATGAGTGGCGATCATGTAAAATTGCATGGGGCTCTTTGGGACGAGGGCATAGCCAAATGGAAAATGTAAATTGTATTTTTTTACGTAAAATCACAGCTCAGGGTCAGACAAGCAAATCACGCTACACACACACACGCACGCACGCACACACACACGTGTGAATGTTTTCAACTGAATGCAAAACACTTCCGCAATTAGCTGTTTGCAACTTTATTCGTACACATCCTGTTGGAGCTGCAAGTGTGATTTCCTGCAGTGACGCTCAAAGGAAAGAGAAGTGGAACAATAAATTTTTTTAGGATAGCCGCTGCGAGGCAGAGCCTGCATGTGATTTGTGTTTATTTTTGTATATTGTGTAGATCATTTGTGTTAGTGTGCAGTATTGGGTCTGATTGGTTTCCTTCAGAGATTTCAGCTTTCCTGGGAGTTTAGCTTCCCAGCGCTCAGTCCTGTGTTTGTTAGTGGTGATAAACAGCTTAATTCAATAATGTGCTGTGAGAATATTACTGCTCACAGGGAAGTTATCCTTCTTCCCATCATCTCGTCCTTCCTCCCTCCATCAATTGCTTTCTGGCTGAACCCCCCCCCCCCCCCCCCCTTCCTTTCCCTTCTCCATTATCCACTGACCACTTGCATTCCCCAACCCTCAGAGGACTCTCTCTGGCTGTTTATGAAGCTTCTCCCAAGGGAACAGATTCTTCTGGAGTCTCCCAAAAGAGTTTGTAGCTTTACTTCAATCTATTTAATTTTGTTGTTCATAAAAAGTTATTTGACATATTGGATAAAAGCAAATAAAAAACGGTTGTTACTGTGATTTTTATTCATTTTCCTATGAATACTTTTTACCAATGCAAGCTTTAGATCTTTTAAAATACATTTTACAAACCTAAATTTAAAAAATTGTCCCTAGTTTTAGTAACAAGTAAAACAATGGAGAAGAGTATCCTTCCATGGGGTTTAATGCGAGGAAAGAGAGAAAAAGAAACCATAGCTCCTCATTCTTTCAACAAACAGGACAGGAGGGAGAGGACTGAAGTGTCTGTTTTTAAGCTTTCACTTGGCTGAAACGAGGGTTTGTGTGTGTCAACGGAAACTGTTTGCTCGTGCCAGATGTTGTGTGCATGGGTTATGGTGGCCTCTCATGAAAAATGTCCATCTTCTTGACTAAGAGACAGAGGAAGGACTGTGCAGTGACAATAGGAGTAATTGAAGGGGAGTTGCAGAGTGTGTACTTATCGTCCTCCCAGATCTCTTGGCTCTGGTATCTCTGAACTTCCTGACATCCGTGACATGGAACAGACCCCGGTATTTATTCTTTTCCTTTTGTGTTTGTTTAGCTCTAAAAACACATGGCAGTGTGAGAAAGTGGATGACACGTGGAAATGGTTTTGGATCTGATGTGGGGGTGTGAGGATGCGTGGAATTTAGCCACATGGGAAATGATTAAATGGATGCCACTTTTGATTAGAGGCCGACCGATGGTGGTTTTTAAAGGTTGATGCCTATACCAATTTTTAACAAATGTTGTTGCTGATGGCCGATATCTAAAGCCAATTACTTAGGCCGATATTCGTATACGTTTTAGGAGCACGCTGATTGTGAAGGACCACTGAACACTCACTGTGTGCAATATAAATTAAATAAGTCAGTAAATATCTTAATATTTATTGAACTTCAAATATAAAACAAACTCCAAACATAAAAAAAAATGTTGGGGAACTTTGGGTCCTTTCTTCAGTCTTCAGTCTAGTAGTGGCAACAGTTGGCCACACAGGTGCCTGATTTATTTATTTATTTAATCAGCTTTTAAAAATAATTTCGGCCGATTTAGAAAAAAATAATATATCGGTCGGCTTCTACTTTTGATACTTGGATTCATCAGAAGATAAACATTATATTTATATTTTATCCACTTTTACCATGAAGGCCCTTGACTATCACATTTTCGTTGTTTGCTGCCGTTAGAGATGTTTAAAGGCGAGGAACACAGAAAAAATGTTTTAAAATATATTTTCTGATTATAATTTATCACTGAGTTTTTCATGCAGGCTGGACATGAAAATAGTCTCCTACACCTATCTCCTGCATTAGCTTCTGATGGCAAACAGAGGGTGAATCTTTAGGATTAGAAAATCCTGACAGATCTACGTCACACTGTCACTTAACATTCACCCATCTTGATTCACGACAGGGAAGGCTGTTGTCGTTTTGCGTCCAGGAAACGGCAGAGAATGTCTCAGCTTGTTGAAGCTACACGTTAGCATTAACAACTGCACCACACAGCAGGACTCCTCCAGATTTTTTTATTTATGGAGATAAAACGTCAATCTTTTTTCATTTTTTGTATATTCATTCTGTGTTGTTCTTTTTAAACACTACTTAAAGTAATTTTTTAAACAGGAAAGTTTTTTTTATACCTTTGCTAAAAGTTTCGATTGCTCCTGCGATCTTCTTCAGAGCTAGCCGCTATTGACGGCATCACTTCCTTCTCCAATCGAAACTGGTAGCAAAGGTAAAAAAAAAAAACTTTGCTGTGTTTAAAAAAAGAACTTGAACATCAGTCTTTCAAAGCAAACTGAGTCAGTGGTGGAGTCACATTGCTGTTATCCAATCTGAGGCCAGATGTCCAAATATCAGAAAATAAGACTCCCATATCCTGCCGTCTGAATCTCCGCTGTGACGTGGCTCACTTCCAGTTCCTGGAAATGGTGCACCAGTGTTTTTCTTCACCAGAATACGACTTACAAGGCTTTCATTCATAGTAGAGAACACTGTAAATGTATTTATTAAACGAGTGTTCCACGCACTTAAGGTACTAGAACATCTTTTTTACAACAGGATACGGATCTTTGAGCCTCTATACAGTTTATGAAACTTTGTTGCGGCTCGAAATGAACCAGGAGCCCAAAGCTCCAAAATGGAATGACTGGTTTGCCCCGCCCACTAGGCCAAGACATGAATATTAAATGAGCTGCATGCTGATTGGCCGGTGTACCCCAGTGGCTCTATGATGCTGCCAGATGTTAGAACTCTGTGTGCAATCGTGTACATACTGGACACGACTACTGTAACTCAGTAGGTGATTTGTGGATCTATTTGGCATTCTTCCAAAGTCTGGATATTCCCTGCCCATCCTGAAATGTCACACGTGTGTTCCAAAATTCTTTGCTGTTTTTCTCTCATCCAACAAGGATGCTTAGCAGTATCACAGGGCAGCGTTAGCGGTAGCTTGAACGAGTATTGGCAGTACTTTGGCTAGAGTTAGCAGTAGCATGGCCTAGCGTTAGCAGAGTTGTTCTGCGGTTAGCATAATCACGACTAATGTTTATATATTGCTGATGTTGAAGTGATTTGGGACATGCTAATTGAAGGTGTGTGAAAGCAGCTTTTCTGTTTCATTAAAACATTACTGATTTGTGTAGGAAAGCAACTTTTGATCTCTACAAAATAAAAAAGTCCTCTTTTTCACCCGCTTCTCCTTGTGATGATCTGCTGATGCTATTCCATCCTGGATCTAAGCCTTTTAAGCATCAAGTTTAGAAAATAAGCAGAAAAACTGGTGTAGAAATGTTCCTTACAAAGAAGATTCAGTGTAGCTGAGGTCTGACGTTTCATAAACTCTGTGGATTCTCCTTGGTTGGTTCGCTGGAGTTTTTGACAATTAAAATTGCGCCCACATTTTCAAAGTTAAACACATTTCTTTTAACAACGGTAGTTTCTGCTTCAGCCCTCTCCCCCCTCCCCCCGCGTAGCGGCCGCAAACTCACTGATGCGCCTGCAGCCTCTCGGAGTTCCTGTTGCTCTAAACATTAAAATAATTATTTCATTTTCTGTTCCTCACTTCTGATTACCTTCAATGGTGTCTGTTTGTTGCAACCACCAGGTACAAAAACTAATTTGTTTTTATTTGACTATTTTTCTGTCCTGTCTGTTTATTATCTTCCTGCATCTCCTCTCAATCCTAAAGAGAAACTGCTACCTGGGTTCATATATATTCACCTTATGAGTTACCTTTGAACTGCAGCTCTAAAAGATCTACCGACCGCAAAAACAGCGGAGTGAGCGCTGCTCGCCGGCCACATCAGTTAGGTGCGTCACCAGAGGACAAAACAGGTGATGCGCCCCGCTCCACAGCGGCGAAAATCATCAGGAACAAATAAAAGAATAAAAGACAGAAAACATAAAAGGAAATGAGCCGACATGAACGATCGCGTGTTAAATTAGTTTTTGAGGTGGCGACATCTGATTTGATAATGTTACTGTGGCCGTGCTCAGGACGCAGATGTGTGGAGCGCGTCAACGATCAGAGCTTTGCATGCGCAAGCTGGTTAAGGTTAGAATGGGGCTGAGGGGAAGGTTAAATTGCAAGAGGGTAAACGTCACAGTTTGGTCAAATGTCCGTTTTACGGCGGACGTCGGATACCGACGCTCTGGCACAGCGCGTTGCCTCCCAACGCGCTGGGGCTCGTCACCTGCTGTCTTTTCCGAGGACTGCATCTTGTTGGTCATTATCACGTGACAGCGACTAGTCTATGACAGGCATAAAAAGTCACTACAGAGCAGTGAAGTCGACTAGTTGATACAACCCCTACTGCTTACAGAGCAAATTTCTACATTAACAAGCTAATCTTTGTTCTTTTTTTTTGTTATACTGAGGAGTGACGCACTGAGTAAAGGTTGCATCAGAATAGGAATGCGGCCTGGGGCATGAGCACTGGTCCCCTGCTGCAGTCTGTCAGACAGGACACACATCCTGCCCTCTCTCCTTCATGAAGTCATTTAACCGTGACACCCACTCAGAAGTGAAAATAAAAAAAAAGGTTGTTTTTTTTTTGTCCCTGAAGTTGAAAACTTGCAAAAATACGATCCGAATTTTACTGAACGTGGAATGGATGAACTATTCGTCTTTGTCCTAATTACGGCGCTTGTTTGTCTGTCAGTTGAGAACGAGAGCCACTGTGACTTTGTGAAACTCCGAGAGATGCTGATCAGAGTCAACATGGAAGATCTGAGGGAGCAAACACACGCCCGCCACTATGAGCTGTACCGGCGCTGCAAGCTGGAGGAGATGGGCTTCAAGGACACAGACCCAGACAGCCAGCCTTTCAGGTACAGAGTGGACGTGTGCACGGAGAGCAGACAAGTCACTCGCTCACTCAAGAAACCACAAAGTCACTCCGCTGTCAGCAGCAGGAATAAGACTATTATTTTAAAACAATAACTTGTCTATTTTTGTCCGTTTTTTACTCACGTCCGTGTATCTTCTCCATCTCTTCCTCAGCCTTCAAGAGACTTATGAGGCCAAGAGGAAAGAGTTTTTAGGGGACCTGCAACGGAAAGAGGAGGAAATGCGGCAAATGTTTGTTAACAAAGTAAAAGAAACTGAAGCAGAGCTTAAAGAAAAGGAGAGAGAGGTCAGTTTAGATACATTTTAAGTGATTATGGATGTTTTAAATGAACTAAACAGATTGTTTGCATTAACTTGATAACATTAGCCCAAGAAAACAGAAATTTGATCTCCCTGGCTTTCAGTTGCATGAGAAGTTTGAGCAGCTGAAGCGGATGCACCAGGAGGAGAAGAGGAAGGTGGAGGAGAAGCGGAGAGACCTGGAGGAGGAGATGAACGCGTTCAACAGGAAGAAAATGGCAGTGGAGACGCTGTCCTTATCTCAGCCCCTCAAGAAAGACAAGGACAAGAAAAAGTAAGGCAGTCCCTCCTCGGTCACTCACGTCGTCTCCTAACAGGACGCTGCTTTTCCCCGAGCCTTCTGATTGGAGCTGGCTTCCGTCCATTGTGTGCCTTTGGTCTTAAAACACCATCTTTTTAAGATTTCTTCCTCATTTCCTGTCTTGCTTTGCTGTTTAACCCCGTTCCTTATTAGAAGGAAGAATGCGTTCTGCTATGTCCGGCAGCGAAGCGTCTCACTAATGAGCCTTTAACGGAGTGTGCTGATGGTGACTGATCAGTTTTTATAAAGGCCTGGCATGTGGTGTGGAAACTTCCCTAACATTTCCTGTGCTTTCACTCCTTCCTTCCGCTCCAGTTATTCCAGATACCCAGGGAGGAGGCAGTTAGCTCTCTTCTTCTTCCCCAGGTAGCAGTGAGCGTTCGGGTCAGTGATGCAGCCCAGGAAAGGGAAGCATTTAAAACTGTTGTCAAAACGTTCAAATCCAATCCACAAATGAGTTGTTCTGCAGGTTTTAGTTTTGCAGGTTAGTCAGGGCTGCCTAGTAGTAAAGGTTGAGAGGGCTTCAAAGTCTAAAAGCAGACGTGTGGCTCCCTCTTGTGGCCATTCACACACACTGCAGCCAGCCTGCTGAGAAATGGAGCTTCCATTTTGTGAATCAGCTGTAGGCAGAAATCTTTTTTTGCCTTTAATGTTCTAACAAAGTTGCCCCCCCCCCCCCCCCCATGGCTTCCTAATTTAAACCGTTCATTTCCTCTTTCAAATCACTCATTGATTCACTTTGTGTTTTGTTTATTGTTTCATTGTTTTCCAGTTAATTTGTGGGGCGCAGCACACCCATCCATCTACACACGGCCATGGATTTGTCCTCCATCACCATAGCAACGACATCATCTGGTTCTGTTTCGTGTTATTTTGTTTTTGACATTCCATCTTTTTGCCATTGTGCACATGGACCAAACACACTGAGGATGATGATGATGATGGTGAAGCCACAGCAGAGATTCACCTTCCATCAGTGGCCATCTCATTCATTCAGGAAACGTTTTGGACACTTAAAAAAAATGTGTGTTTTGTTTTCTGATTTAAATGTTTTTGTTTTGTTTGTGTTTCACCATCAGCTTCTCCACACATCCATGGGACCTTCTTGATACTACAGCAGGCTAAATTGAGTATTTTAAACATAAATTGTGCTCATTTTCATAGGACTGAATTCTGGATTTAGGATGTTAATAAAATAAAAGCTGTCCTTAACGTCTGTTATGGAGTACATAGCGCAGATGTTTTTTATAATCTAGTATAGCAGAATTAGTCCCCGTTTAGATTAAGCCTAAATAAAACCTTTAAATAAATAACCGAGTACCTGTGGTACCGACGACCTAAAATCTAGGCTCGTTTCAATAATCGATGCAACATTCTTGTGCTGCAATTCAATAAAAGTATGTGAATATTTCCTAGAGTTTACTAAGCTTACAGTTATATGCAAATAAAGTTCTAGTTTTTAAATATTGAACACAAATATAAGAAGGCCATAAAGATGCTGTACATGTTTGTTAGTGGTTTAACATTATTGTAAACGTTGATGTTTTATGACTGTGGAATCAGCTATGAAGCCAGTAAACAAGATTCAGGAAAAGATTCAAGCCTCCACTTGCTTGTAGAGGAGTTTACACTCAGACAAAACAAGAGCAGCTGTATTTACTGTCTGTTGTTGCAAATAAACACAAACCCCTCTCTTCCTCCTGACTTTGAAGCCTCCTCTCCCCTGGTTTGTTGTTGTGAGTGACGGGCAGGTAGCAAAACATCTGTCAGCTGGAGACGAGGCCTTTCCTGTTTAACGGTGTCTAACCCAGAGGCTTTTATGACCATCTCTGCAGGTGTGCGTGTGCGAAAAGAAAGTGATGTTTAGGAGTTGTGTAAATTGCATTATAAAGAAGACATACTGTGACTTTTTTTTCTTAGGTTATAATAGTTCTGTGGTCAATACAAACGTATTCTTTGCATCAAGTCCTCACATGAAGCAATTTCAGCAGTTTTAGTCCTTCAGTACCTTCCAGAATGAGTCGTTTAAGGGTTCTGGTCTCTCCTGTACGTGAGAGATGGTTTTATTCTACTTTCTCTGTTTGTGACATCACAAACGGGAACTTTTTGAAATGGCTCGTTTAGGCACATCATTCCTAGAACAAAACGGGGACAGAAAATGCACGGGCAGATTGGTTTTTCACACTTGGATTATTTATAGAGGCTCTAGAGACCCATATGGCAGCACAAAAGGTGAGTTTTGCATAGCAGGACCCCCATAATTAGCTTTTCAGTTAAGGTTCTAGTGAGACTTTTCTGTAAGTTTTGTATACATTTGTTGAGAAATCATGTCTGTTTTGTACCTAAACCCATAAGGCAAGCGTATCAGTTCTATTAACAGAAAAAAACGTTCCTCTTATTACGTATTTTATAATTAATTACCAGTTCCTTGAATTTTTTTTATAACCTTTCCTGGAGCTCAGGACTTCTTTTTGGGTTTGGACTTGCCAGTACCCCGTCACCGCTGCTGTACAGTTTTATTTTCGAGGTATTTATTTCAGCACGTTTAGAAACCAACAGGAGGAAGTCACAAATCTGTAATGTAGATCCTCACCGTTTCCTGAGACAACTGAGCCAACACTATTATCATTCTGTCCACCACCTGCGGAGCTGGCTGGATCTCCTCCAGCAGCACAATATGTTCAGAGCTCTCTGTTCTGTCCTTGAACACACGGTGCTAACAGAGCTGAATGATAATCGCTCTCCGGCAGGCTGCAGCTGCTCTTCTTCAATGCTGCAAGGTATCTCGAGCGTTGCAGAAAAATTAATCACAGGTGAAATCAAAAGAGTTGCCCCTATATGGGGACCTTCAGGAATCTATTGATGTTTCAGACCTTAAGTATTCAGGTAGAAATGCAGATTTCTCATGACCATGAAAAACCCAAGTTGTTAAACTTTCTGAACATCTACAAACCAAATTACAAACCAGAGCCGTTGGAAGCAAATTCTCACTTGGAATACAATCATGTCTTTTTAAAAACCCCTTCTGGAGAGAAAGATGAATTTCTGTGCAAATATGACCTTGAAAATAACTCACTGGCAAGGGAAAATTTTAGCAATGAGCCGATTTGGAGGTTATATTTTTCTGAAATAAATTCTACAGATCTCAACCTTTTAAAGCCACATTTATGTTAGAAATACCATTTTGGTCCAGTTTCTTCCAAACCTGCTGTGCCATTTCATCTAGGTGCTTTAAAGGGATACTTTGAAACTTTTTCATATTTTTAAACCATTTTCATGAACCGGAATGTGCTAAAACAACCCTTTACAGGGTTAATAAAAGGCCACCCAGCCCCTATCACCCCTGTGGCCAGAATATTCCACTTGCAACTTCAGACAGGCAGTCTGCTCTGCTGGGACTTAAAAAAAAATTGAGCTTACATACCTGGTGCTGCAGCCTAGTTCCAACACGTTTCAGGTTATGAACACAGCAGATTTGTTTAATTTAGTGATGAACCACTCCTATAGACACCAAGGAAGGCTAGGGAGGCATGTCAGCTGTTCGATTAAGGTGTTAAAAAGACGAACGCACAGCAAGATGGGTTTTGATGTTGGTTCTACAAATGGACACTAGAGGGCGTTAAAATAAGCAAAAACTGCTTAGTTTTAGATGAACATTAAAGGGGCATTATGGAAGTTTGTCAGCCAAAACATGTATAGAAATAATAAATTTCTCCTTCATACATTCTCCTGCAATGCCCTGGTCCTGTAGAATGAGCCCTGGCATTTTTACTGATTGCCAGTTTTTCTGTAAAATCACAGAAAGAGTTGCTCGGGTCGAGCAGGCTGCTTCATGCGCGTTCACGCTCAGGCATCGCCCGTAGCATTTGCTATCAGTAGCTTTAGCAGCAGAGAGAGAGAGGCAGTGCCAACTCAGCGACTTTGTCGCTGTTCCTAACGCCTAGTGATGAACCTAGCTACATTTCTGAGGACCCTTAGCTACTTTCGTCTAGATATTTCCTGCAAATTAGCAACAAAATAGCCATTTTCGCTCCGAACCGTTCTTTGAACATTGTTTCAGCTGTCATCAAGGATATAAAAGTTACAGATACAACAGATGTCACTGGCGCTTCAGCTCACCTATTAAGACGTCACTCTCTCGTGCAGTAGGCCCGGGATCGATTCTGAATGTGAGCATAATTTATTTAGTTTATTTTTTACATTAATGGTATATTTTTTTACAGTAAGATGCCCAAATTTTTATTTGAGACTCTCCGAACGGCATTGAATTCACAGATAAAAAAGACGTGGGTTCAACTTTCATTTTGGACCAATTTTTCAAGCAAGGGAAGGGAATGATCTGAGCATGCAGGGAGACTGACCCATCTTAAACCTTTGGCGGCTGTGCTGAAGAGAAAGGTACAGAACCAAATTGTTTAATTAGCTGCACTTTCTCCTGTCCTCCAGGCCACACACACACATGGGACTGTCTCAGCTGTTATTTTCGTTGAGTGTACACGTATAGCATGCGCGCCTCGTGCACAAGCCTACTATTGAAGCTGCCGTTACGCTTTTGGCCTGAGGGGGCAATCGCGAGCATAAAAATTCAAAACTCCATAAAGTCCCTTTAAAAAATTATTACTCTTTACATTTAAACCACGAGTAGAACCAGTTGACGTAACTTGGTTAAGTTAATTCAACATTTCATTGTTTACAGTGTACAGTGTTTACAGAGGGGAGATATGTTCTATGCAGGGGTGTTTTATTTTGCAGATATTGTGCATAATGGTGCAGCTCTGAAAATTTGTGCAACCAAGATGAAAACACATTTGTTTTAAGGTGTAGCTTTATTTCTGTGATCGAACAAAGTATGACATAGCTGCCTTTAGTAGATGAAGGGAAAAATAAACAATAAAAATAGTCACAGAGCAGCTTGGTCCAGCTTTATCTTAGAAAACTGACCGTAACAAGTTCACATTAGAAAAAACTGTAGAGACAGTTTACGTGTCTTTGGGCTTCAGCAGTTTGGCAGCGAAGCTTTATCCTCCCCCAGGGGGACAAGCTGAGCTTATTCAGCTAACATCAAACGCTTTTCCTTTTGCCATCCACTCACATGTACCACGATCCTGTAAATCTGGCAAGGCTGGCTAGTTTTTACATGATAAAAAAAAAAAAAATCTGTTGAAATAAAAACATTCATCCCAAATTTCACATTTCCTGTGATTCATTTTAAAATACTGCAAAAATAAATTAGATCACTACCACAAATGGGCCAATCTCACAATGTTGTCATTCTGCTCTAATGTTGAACTAATTTCCCAAAAGGTGCTCTCGTTGCATATGTAACTACGGTTGAAGTAAAAAAAAAAAAAAAAAAACAATATGCTGAAAAACAGTTTCATCATTTTAGTCAGGAAAGTAAAGCTTTTAGGTAAAATGTAGCTTTTGGTAAATGAATGATAAATAAAACATTAGTAAAAGTTATATAATAAATGTAGAAAAAGGTTTTTTTTCCTAGCAAAAAGCTAGTTTTTGTTAAAGTGCCTTGTGCCTCTGAGGAGGAACCCGAGCACAAAGATTAAAAAACATTTGAGGTGAATGAAAACACGAGGACAAAGGTCCTAAAACACCTACAATTAACCACAGAAAAACAATCAGCAACATCTAGATACCCTGCTGTGCACTTGAAAGGTGGACGGTGACAAAAGCCGTCTTAGTGGACAGCAGGGTGCAGCGGTGGACATGAGACGCCTTTCTGCTTGGGTTCAAACACAGCCTCGGACTCTGGGTTTGACTCCTCATTGTACAAACGTTTAAAACCATCATAGTAGTCGAGCTCTCCTCGATCCTCGCCTCCATGCCCCCTTCTGGCCAGCCTGCGGTGCAGCGATGGGCTCCAGAATTGCTGCTGGATCTGTGAACCATCCAGGATGTAAACAGCGTTAGCTGGCAGGGAGAACTCCAGGCTGTGTAGGTACTCATCCACAATCTCCTTGCAGTGGATGAAGTCGGCACTATCAACCTGTGGAAAGAGACCGGAGTCTTGGTCTGTTCTTTCAAAAATGAAAGATTTCTGATGTCATCCAAGTGTTATTTGGCCAGGAATTGGGTCGAGGGTTCTAAGGGGGACGGTGCAAGTATGCACAAACACTTATTTGGGATTATTTAGAGTCCCATGTTTGTGTATTAGAGAACACAACATATTAGAAAACTCATCTTATTTGACAAAATATTAAACAGGAAAATAAAGTTGCGCCGGCCTCTTACGTGTGCTTTCTTCAGTAGGTCGGTGAAAACGGGGAACCAGTCGGCCACCACCACCTCCAGCTCCAAAGTGATGATGGCCAAAGCTAATGTGGAACCCTTGAACTGCCAAAGCTGGTGGCAGGCCATACAGTGCTGCACCTGCCTGGTCCACAGCGACACCTGGAGGCCCGGAGGCCTCTTCTGAATCCCGGGATCAGCAGCACCCGCTGCCGAGCCGACGCCGGAGTGTAGACTGAGGGATGGAATAAGGTGGGGGTGTCCAGAGACGAGCAGGGCGTGGAACTGGAGAAACGAGGCCAAAATGTTAGCATAGTGATGCCAAGACCATCCCTGAATCATTACTTCTACCACATCACACCCACGTGTGTTCAAACATACGTCTGTGACAAATCCGTCAAGATGCTGTGTGGTTAGTGGTTTGAGCATTCCCAAGTGTTTTTGTCTCATTAAGCTCTCGCCTGCATCATCTGTGAAGTTTTTTTTGTCTGTGAGAACTTGATGTTAAAAAAAGTTTCACTGTTTACAAAAGGCCTGTCTCCACTATCAGAACTTGCAGGTAATCTTGTCCGACCTTCATGGTATGCGTGTGCCCACAGCTCACCAGACCGCGCCAACCATTTCCCGGGCCCTTTCAGGGACCACCCAAGTTCCTGAACTGAGGCATGTACCTGAAAATGGCTTGGTAGGGCCGCTTGACGGGACGTTTCATTAACTCACGATATTGGCAGATGCCGCCAAAACAGCCAACTGTTTCTACAACTGGAGAAGTTGCAGGCGAATCAGAATGGACAGGAAAGAAAAAAGCATTGATGTTGTTTAAAAATGGCCATTTCTAAACTACCAAAGCCGAAATCCCCCACAACGCTGTGGTTGTGGCCCCCTCATGATCTCTTACAGAACACCATAAAAAACTGCTTCTTGTGGTCGCTAATGTTTTTTTTAACTTATTGATACTCAGGTTTTATTGATCATTTGATTTTTTTTTTTACAGAACATAGAAACAGATGGCAACGTATCGGAATCACAAATTATCCAAAAGTTTGCAGGTATAAGGCAGAAGCCTTGCAGTATATTTTATAGCAGCAGTACAAAGTAGTTAACAATACGATCTGATAGAACATCGAATCCATCTTCCCCATCTGGTCGTTAACGTTTTTTACGCCACAATCAGTTCCCTAAATGGGTTAAAACGGCGTGCTGTGACTGAATAAAACATTGACATTAATAACTGTTTGCCTTTTGGCGCCTATCAGTGATGTCACAAAAGGAAAGGGCCAATTTTGTATGGAGACACAATGCCTGAGAGGACCAAGCCATTTTTCCCCTCCCAGAAATTTAATGGATCTCTTATAGTGGAGACATGATTAAAGCGACATACATCCATTCAGAAGGCCGATCAGTTAAGCACGACTGGCTTAAGCTGCACCAGACTTTAGTTCAACAAGTTGGTGAAGAAATTCGCCAACGCCGCATTCATCGTAGTTTGTTGCAAACACCCATCTGTGCATTTTGTGTTTTATTCACTAGCAGAAACAAGCCATGTGTTTAAAAGAAAGCCAAAGTGCGCTGAGAGGTGGATTGAGCTCTGTGGAGCAACGCATCGACTCTCAGTTTCACTTGATGCAGAATCACTGAAGGATGACAGTGGGAGAATCTGTAAATCCTCATTTATTCATATATAGTCATGGTGGAAAGTCTGTGACAAATTATTGTTTTGTAAAACTCTTTAAAAAAAAAAAGGAAACACAGGGCAGATATTTACAGCAAATTTGAGATATTTAGAGAAAGTATTTATTTGAAATATATTTATTTGAATATAATGAGAAATGTGTTTATTTGACTATAGTTTTATTCTTACATTATGTATTTTTATTTTAAAGCTCTTGAATTTTTGTAACACCTGAAATGAATCAATAGTATTGTAAACACTATATGGACTCAACCTGTAACAGAGAGGAAAAAGGACATTTATTTGGGACAGAATTTAGTTTGTGGCTTAAAAAAAAAGTCTAAATCCTGAGCTGAGCTACAACTCTAGTGATGTGAGGGAGCAGCATACGGATTTATATATAAAGATCACACAAAGTGGGGATTGGGATTTATATCAGAAAGCTTTTTTTCATCCGACTTGTGGTAAATACTTGTTAGAAAAAAATGTTGGGCTGTATTCATAAAGCAGCAGCTGGCTCGTTTTATTATTAAAGGGGTCGAACACTCATTTAATCAAACTTCCAGTGGTCTCTAGTAGGAGTGAACGCCTTGCAAGTCGTACTCTGGGGAAGAAAAACACCGGTGCACCATTTCCAGGAACTAGAAGTGAGTCACGTGATGGCAGAGCTTCAGACGATAGGATTTGGAGTCTTATTTCCTGATATTTAGACATCTCGCACCAGACTGGATAACAGCAACATGACTGAACCACTGACTTGCAACGCAGTTTTATCTCCACAAATAACACAAGCCTGAAGAAGTTCTGCTGCGTGGTGGAGTTGCTAATGCTAACAATTAGCTTCTTCAAGTCAAGATGTTCTCTGCTGATTCCTGGAAGTTAAATAATCTGAAATGAGATTTAAATTTTTTTTTTCAGTGTTCCACAACTTTGAAGAAGCAACTAAGAGTTATTTTTTTTAAAATCCGTAAATGCGATAGTACCCTGTACTGTGTAGGCAATACATCAATTTTTTTAAGCCCGCCCCGCAGGGCCCTGTGCATTTTGAATTGTGCACTGCTCAGAATTGGCCAATAGCGTTAGACATCTGATTACGCACAGTCAATCTCAAGTGTTTGCGGGTGTACCCACTGATGCAGATTTGGTGACATTTCTTATAGACAAGTAAGTCTTAAAAAAAATTATATTCATATGAATAAACCACACAATGTAAGGATAAATGTGAAAGAATTTTTAGTTTAGTTGGCCGACTAGAGGTACGTTCACCAACGAGAGGCGTTGCTTCCAGCAAAAAAAACAAAAAACAAAAAAAAAAAAAAAAAAACACAGAAGTAGGGAAACGAGCTTAAGGTGCAGTACGTTTTTCTGCCTCTAGAAGGTGCCTCTGAGAGAGACAAACTCTGAATTTATACTTTGAGGTCATGCAACAGTGTTTTTGCCTGCATCTAATCAACCACTGCATGGATTTTAATTAAACTCACAAATCAGTCTTTAGATGCTGATCTGCTCCTGACCAGCGTAGTTAACCCAATTCAACAGTGCTACCGTAGCTTGTTTTAAACAAAAAGCAGCTGCAAATCCAACCAGTTTTTAGACGTGGAGCAGAAATTTCACATTACAACAAATCAACACAGCAGATGGAGCCCAGTTTTTACATTTCAATTCATCATTCCACAAAAACTAATAACCACAGACCCCCTCCAAAAAAAAACTCAATAAAACCTTCTCAGGTGTGCTGCCTCCTTGACCCCGGTTTTCATTAAAGGCTTTATGAATACCGCCCCAGGCCCAAGTGCATGCTGGGAACTAAATGGTGTCATGTGTGTCTGTTTGGTGGCAATTCCATCAGTGCTTACTGCCTTGGGAAAGAATTTGAGGGTTTTGGTAAATTAAGTGACTGTGCACAGATCCAGGCTGTAAACAGAACAGAAAGGAGTTTAGTGAAAAACAACAAACCCCTTTTGTTTGTGTTAGAACGAGAAGCAACGATCAGCAGCTTGAATTTTGCTGTTACTCTTAATGTTTAACCATCAAAAACCAAACCTGGTTTATGTTTCTACAGGAAGACTTCAGATAGAAGTGCCTTGGTTTGATGTGCAGCTGGTTAGCTCACTAAATCAATCCCACGTCTTTCAGATGAATCTGAGGATGCTTTGTATGCAGATTTTTTTTTCATACAAGAAAAATTAGATTATCAGATTCTGATGAGAATTGTTTTTCTTCATCATTCAACCATCACATAATTGACTTGTTTAGCTGCAAACTACTGAGAAATGACCAGTTCAGCTGATCCACCATACTACAGATGATTTTATGTGGTTTTAAACACAAATAAGACATTGGAGTCATTTCAATGAACACTCTTGTTAATTGCCAGCGTTGCTCTGAGGGATTTGTGCAGCTAAATTCAAACAATAAGATTCTGAATTTAGATTTTCAAACTGATTATTAAAAACCAATAGCCGTTTAGAAAATTTATTATGAGCACATCAAATTAAATAAACGCACAACGTATCCTTGGACCAATTCTATAGTCAGAAAGGAGCTGGACGAGGTGTTAAAACTGAAGCATGACGGTTTCTATGCTTTTGCACTGCTTGTGATGTACGAGATCCTGAAGTTTTTCAAAGTCAAACTCATTTTGAAATGCTTCGGGAATGATAAAAATGTTCTGTTTGTCAGTGTGTCGATCTGTGACTCACAATGTGAATGAAATCCACGGGTGTTGCCGTGTACAAGTCCCAGTGCAGCTTGTCTAGAATGATCCTCTCCATGCGAAGAATCTCCGCTGTTGAGAAGTTGCATCCGCTCTGAACCACCAAGTCTTTAACAGAACCTATGACCTGTTACAGAAGCAAACAAGAAGCCAAATAAAATGTATTGTTTTAGAGATGCAGTAATGTGTGGAAGTGACTTTTTCTCCTGCTTTCACTTGTTTTATGTTTTTTGGAAAAAAAAAAAAAAATCATGTTACCTCATCTTCCTCGTTGATTTTGGCAGCCAGGACCAGTGAGGTAAAAGCCATACATTTCAGGTATTTTGTCTGAGCCTTGATTAAAAAAAAAGAAAAATGAGCCCAGGAAACTACTGTTATCTACTGAAATTGGCCAAATATAAAAAAAAAGTTCAAAAGTACATTTTACCTTGACAGTGGACAACATTCGGTTGAGGACACACACTCCCAGTGCATATGTCTCTGGACAGAACACAAACAGTCGGCTCATTTCTCCAAGCCAAAGGATCACTTGCTGGTGTTGGAGTGAAGAGATGTCAGTACCCTGCGGGGTTAGCAAAAAGACTTTATGAATATTAATTCACAGCTATGGAATTTTGTTTCGTGGAGAAACCTACACAATTTATTCAGATAAAAAAACACCAAAACCTTTTGGTTACAGGAGACAGAAAATGGTTGCCAGTTTATTTAAACTGGCAACCATTCATAATAATTCTGGTCCTCAAGGCCACCGTCCTGCATGTTTTAATTGCTTTCCAGCATTTGATTCAATGGTTGAATAAACATACGTCAGAATCTGCAGAAGTCTTCAAAATCAGAGAAACCCAAAATATGCTGGACGTTGGCCCATGAGGACCAGGAGTTAAAAAGACACCATTACTTGCTTTTGTTTATAAATACACATGAAGTAATGCGACTGCTTTCCAACCACAGCAATCCACATTTAAAGAAAATGCTGCGATTTTTCCTAAAGCTTGTTTACCTCCATCATCATCATCATACCTGTATGCATCCATTTTTTAAAATAGGGATCTTCCAGAGGCGAGCCTCTCTGACCAGAGCTGCCTCCAGCAGGCCAACCAGCCTTCGACCCTCTGCAGCTTCTGGGTTCTTCATCACCTTCTCCTCCTCCACAACACAGGCCAGGCTGCACCCAGGACACACACCCCTGGTGGAGGACGTGCAATGAAATCTAATCAATTTAAACTAAACCACCAAGGGTTTGGCATGTTTTCAACTGCTTGGTTTCTCAGATCAATGTCAGACACAAAACAGCCAATACATTTAATAAGATCGACTTAGACTTAGGTAACCTTTTTTTTTTTTTTTTTTTACAAATTGGTTGCTTTAGTGGCAGTAAACTTTTACTCTCCTGAACCAAGAGCACAGCAGGAAGTGAAACTGCGCATTCAGTTTGTAGAACAACAACGCCATTTTCCGACTTTCTGCACGCAGACTTCGGCACATTATAACCAGATAATGCAACTCTAACACTGGGCAGTTGCAAAAATCCTGCTGATGAAACACGAAACAGACCAGATCCAGACGGACGGTCCTGCAGCCGCTGCTCCTGCACAGAGTTCAGACCCCCCCGTCACAACAAAAGGAATCATACCTTTTTAATAGCAAAAGCACGAAGTATGTTCGGCTGGAAGTGCATTTATACGGATCAGTCCATGTTCCTCGTAAGCGCCAACAAACAAACAAAACAGCGGGATGCTGCTGGGAAAACAATCTCGGAACAAAACGTGTCTCTCCGACGATGCAAGGAAAGCAACCGCATCATATGAGTAAAAAAAAAGTAAACTTGGAGCAAACAGATACAAGTTAATGAGAAACAAGCTAAAAAAACGGACGAGAACAAAAAAAGCGCAAAAACGAGGAGGAAGAATTGAGGTCGGCTGTGTTTTGAACGCGCTAGGCTCCGCCCCCAAATCACAGGCTCCGCCCCTTCCCGGCGTTTTTGTCTGCAGATTTGTGTTAGTGGGTCAGAGCAGAGACGTGCAGGGCTTTGCCCACGAAATGGCTGAGCTTTGTCTGAAAATGGAAGAGTTCAGCTGTCTCTGTGTCCAGACAGCGAGCTGTTTGCTCAGCTGGTGTCTTGAAAAGAGCTTTTCTATTAATAAAACCTGCTCTGACACAGGCAGCTGTTCATTTAAACTCACTGCTGACATTCCTCATCAAATGTTTATCATTTTACCATTTATAAAACATGTTTATGTGAAGACATAATAAATCCTTTTAGCTCAGTAGTTGTAGATTATACATCTATTTACAGCCTTTTTTCCTAAAAGATAACGTTTATGGATTGATGAGCAAACAGCTAGTCTGGGCGTCACCTGTCCTGTCAGTACCAGATCAGTTCCTGCAGTGAACCCTACGCCCTGCTTTAACGACAGCATTCACAGCCTGAAGCGACAATGCAGAGAAGTTGAGCGCTTGTGGAAGAAAACCCATCTCCACATTCATCTGCTGCATCTAAAGGATCTTCTGACCTTCATTAACTCTGCAGTCAGAGACACGAGGGTTGTCTATTTCTCCAACATGGTGTTCCAGAGCAAAGGGAACCCCAAGGGGCTGTTTAACACCATTGCAATATTGTCTCTCCTGCCTCTCTTACATTCTCCATCCACTCTCTTGCAGACTGTGAAAACTTTGTCTTTCTTTGTGGACAAAGTCAATAAGGTTAGATCTAGCATCTCTCCTTCAACCTTATCTCTGCCTCTCCTGACTCCAACCCGATCTGTCTGTCATCCTAGATATCTTTTTCATTTCAGCATTTTCAGTGTATGCTTCAGTAAAGTATAAGGGAGTCAGATTTGCTCAACCAAATGGTTCACCGCAATGTCAAAGGGTCAATAAATATTAAATTCTGTGTCTACTTTATTAGAAAAAAAAATCATTCCATTCTGTGCATTTTCATAATTTAATTATTATATTTTCATGTAAATATTACAAAGTTCATGTAAACACATTTAATATAAGGTATCAGTTTAATTTAGTCATAAATCAAAATCATGATGCAAAGGTGCTAAATTTTTAGATGAAAAGGTGACATTTCCATTATACCAACATCACAAAAGTGCTTCAATTTAGATTTAGGCTGTAACACTCTAACAGCACTGGATATTTGCTGTAGTTAGTATGTGACTTTTCAAACCTAAGTGTTTAATTTATGCTGATTTCTGGTATTAATTGGAGTTAAAGACCTGTCAGTTGCTGCAGAAACAGATTGCTTCATGCTTCTTTATACAGATGCACATTCAGGGATTAAATTACTTGTTGGATTGGAAACTGTACAGCAGTCCTGTCATAATATCACCCAGTTTGCTGAACATCTGATAGACAGAAAGGAAATTTAACAGCAGTCATTATGACAGAGTGTCCTATTAGTGCTTTTGTTTTATCATCATCATTTTTTATTTTGCCTGCATTTGTCAGGAGAATGTTTCAGAAGTATATCTGAGTTTGTTCGACATGAGAAGGTGTTTGTTCTCTCGGTCATCTCTCAGCTGACAGATAAAAAAAGCTTTAAGCCAGCACGTGTGAGCTAAGGTCAAGGCAGGAATGTTGATAAGAAACGACAGTCCCAGTAGTGTATCTGCACGTTGACAGAGTGTACAACGCTGTGGGAATGCTGTGATTGCGTTCCATGAGAGATCAGGTTGTGTTTTGCTTTAAGAAAATCTTGTTTGTTCTGGAGACGTGCTGAAAGTTTATAGTTTCAAAAGTTAAAGATCAGGAGGCTGTGCACACACGTGCACAAAGTCTTCATCTGATTGGATATTTTGTTGAAGATGAACGTGATAGTTTGTTCTTAAAACCAGCAGAAGATGAGCTGAGTCAAAGGTTCCAGGATTTATTATGTTTTTCAATGAGGATGCAAAAAATGCCAGCAGTTAGACTATAAATGTACTTAAAAAGTTGTAACACTTTGTAGGAAAAAAATCTATAAGCTGTTTCAGAATAAATCAACATTCTGACTCAGAACCACCATGGTGACTCAAAGGACCACAAAGAGACACAAACAGGAAAAAAAGAGAGGATGGTGCAAAGAGACCTCAGCAGACATCTAAATGCTAGTGCTGATTCTCCAGAGCGAACACATTTGTGTTGCAAACAGGAACAGGTGTATCTGTGGCTCAATCACTGACAGAAGCCTCACTCTGAGAGTTGTTGATTTTCAAAGTCTTATCTTTATCTCTGGGCTGTTTTTGGCTTCTCCTGAAGTTTTTTTTATTTAGCCCTTGGTTCCTGTAATTTGAATACGGAGGAGTCATGATAAAAAACGCCTTGAACATTCATGCTCTTGTTGCATTTTTACATTTATTTTTATTTAAATTCAGCCTCTGAGATGTAAAAGACCATGAAGCAAGTCAAACAAACCATTTTATGCTTTTTAAAGTGACAGCGCATATTTTTCCTGGTGATAGGGGACAGTAGATACTTTTAGTGTTGGGGTAAGACCTTACCAACGGATGCCCATTAGGGTCAAAATTTCCTGGGAAGGGCAAACTTTAGCAAAATAACAAACACATTAGACTCCCTATCATCACTGGCAACAAGTGAAGAGGTAAATGTGTAAAACAACAACATTTAAGAATGACAAAAGTTTTAGAACCATTTGTTAATGAAATTATGTGGTGTAATGATTATACACACTGTTTTATCACTTGATAAGAAGTGAACTGTTTATGGTCAGAAGTTGATTAATTGTATAAATAAAATAAATAAAAATTAAGTAGACGTTAGTAAAATTTCTGTTGAACGCAAACAGGTTTTTAAATTTGATCTCAGTGATTGTTGAGTTAGAAACTTGACCAGTTTCATATCTGACACCACTCTCTAGAGCCCTCTGCTGGCCAGATACTGCACTTAACTATAGGGTGACCATATTTCCATTTCCAAAAAAGAGGATCTGTGTCTACCAATGACGTCACACTAGGGCTGGGCGATATTTCCTAAAATCAATATCACAATATATTGAGGATTTAACCTCGATAATGATAAATGGATGATAACTACAGGTATGTGCAGAGACAAAGGTTGTCCACTAGACGGGGCTGTCACATGTATTATGTTGAGTCACATTTTTACGTGACTCAAGGTGGTACAGCTTCTTAAAGGGACATGAATGTTGCCAACACATATTTTCATTTTTTTATTATCAAATATATTGGCATGGGAAAAAGTATCTCAATAAGAGTCATATTCATAACGATACATTTTCGATTTCTTGCTCAGCTCTACGTCACACAATGGCAAAACCACACAAACCACGTTGGGACCCATTTTTTCCCCAGGTGAAGAGTTAAAATTGATATCAGATTCTGCCAACAAAAGGGCTCTAAAACAATTAATATGTAAATATTTATTGCAAAATCTAATTTTTCTTCTGCTTTAGTGCTGCAACAACGTTTTATTAATAAGAAATTAGTATACCTTTTGTTTTACAACAGCATCGGTAAGCTTCCCGTGTACAGATTATTAAGAATGCTGGTTTCAGCTGTGAGATTAGATGATAGGATCAATGATTTAAAAAAAAAGAAGTTTGTCATGGACTCCATGGAAACTTTCAGAGAATCCACAAATAGTGACTTTCAAATGGTTTTGTTACTGACAGATTTTTGTGAGTTTAGAAAAGAAGCAGATGAGACGGCGTGTCTGAGAGTCCATAAATATTGTAATATAGGCAGAAACTGGATCTTTCCCTGAAACATATCTGGCCCCCCATAATTCGATCCATTCTCCTGGATGAAAAACCGGACATTTTGATCAATGTAGGAAACCGCCCTGGACAGAGAGTGAAAAGTGGATATGTCCGGGGAAAAAAGTACATATGGTCACCCTAACTTAACAGTTTTGTGGCGTGGGTAGGTGCCTTTGTGTTAGCTGTAATGCCAGCAGTTAGCTTTTTCAGTTCACTGTCAATAAAAAGCACAAAAAGAAGAAAAATAAGTTAGCTTTTTTGGCAACATGGCAGAGCCTGGAAGTAAAGGTAAGAGAGTAATGTGTTTGGACATGAAGCAAAGAAGAAGAAGAAGAAGAAGAAGAAGAAGAAGAAGAAGAAGAAGAAGAAGAAGAAGAAGAAGAAGAAGAAGAAGAAAATATCATTTCTATAGCGCCTCTCAAGATGAAAATCACGAGGCGCTTCACAAAAACAAAAAAATGTTAAAATATAAAAAAGCATTTAGAAAATGTTTAAAAATATATTTAAAATGAGCAAAAATAGGCAATTGGGATTTAAAAGAAAAAAATGTTAAGAAGGAGAGAGAGTGAATAGGAAAGAGGGAAATCAGTGGATCCTGAGGAAGGTGGAATAGGTGGGGAGAGCAGAATAAAGAGAGGGTGAAGAAGGTCACACAAAAGCCAGCTTGAACAAGTGAGTCTTCAGCTGCTTTTTAAAGGAGACCACTGAGTCCACTGATCTCAGGCTCAGGGGGAGAGAGTTCCAGAGTCTGGGGGCCACAGCAGCAAATGATCTGTCACCTTTGGTCTTTAGCCTGGTGCTGCACAACCAGTAGGCTTTGATCACTGGACCTCAGGGACCTGCTGGGGGTGTAGGGACTAAGAAGATCACCAATGTAAGATGGTGCTTGTCCATGTAAGGCCCTATAGACCAGAACCAGGATCTTGAAATGAACCCTGAAGTTGACTGGCAGCCAGTGAAGCTGGAGGAGAAGCGGGGTGATGTGGGTGTGTTTGGAGGACTTGGTCAGAAGCCGAGCACAGGCATTCTGAACCACCTGTAGACGGTTCAGGGAGGTTCTGCTCAGACACGTGAAAAGAGAGTTACAGTAGTCTGAGCGTGAGGAGATGAAGGTGTGGATAACTGTCTCAAGTTCAGAGCGAGACAGAATGGGACTCAGCTTAGCAATGTTCCTGAGATGGAAGAAGGAAGAGCGAACAAGAGAATTTACATGAGAATCCAGGGTGAG